GATTTATCTTTTCCTTTCTGGCCTTGTGGTTATGGATGCTGTCTGCTGACCATGAAGTTGCGAGTTCAAATCCCAACCTATCTTCAACTCACACTTTTTTCATTGTTTTTTTGGTGATCAAGCAGACTTGTTGTTGTTCACGGTTGTTGTTGTTGGAGCTCCCGCTTCCTCTCGAACTGACTGACACTTGATTGGCTCACGCCATGTGAACACACCCTCAACACTGAAACGGTGTGAGTGAATACGGAAGTCATTGCGCTGTAGCTACGTGTTGAATACACCGGCACATCGATCGATCGATTTCTTTTTGAGAATTATTTTAGTATTTCAAGATCGCCAATTATTATTTATTTGAATTTAGAAGTCAACGCCGTCTTCTATCAGCTTCCACAGGCGTCTGCTTTTCTCAAAATGTTGTCGAAGTCGTTTTCGTCACATGGTGAGAGTAAATTGCATCGCAGCTCAAAGAAACTATTTGGTCACATAACATATTGGGACCCATGCCGCTCGTCAGCCTTGACATTTACTACACTTTCGACATGTCCTCTCTGACTCCAGTCCATAATCGATACGAGGAAGAACTCGTTTGTTGTGAACCAGACGTACACGACTGTACCGACATCGACCTGAGTGAGTTGTCATTTTTCATGCTTTCGCGCGGAATATTTCTTCGAGTTCACAGTGAGTTTTTTGCAGGCAGCGCTCGAGCGCTCATACGGTAAGACGGCAAACTCCCCGGGCGATCACCAGGATTGCTAATCTTTTTGAAACTGACTGTAGTAGGCAGGTTAGACCAAGAGTACATAACCCCCCAGAGTGTGCAACGCCTGATCCAGCTCTGTGTAGGGTCTTGGTCGAGCGGAATCGGATCTTCTGATGTCATGCGTACACTTCACACCAGCGCAAGGCCGGTCTCGAGGCAGGGCACCATTGTTTTTGATCCTAGAGTACCCGCGACTCCCCGGGTTCCCCTCAGATGTGTACGGTATTATGACGCAAAGATCCGATTCCGCTCGACCAAGACCCTACACAGAGCTGGATCAGGCGTTGCACACTCTGGGGGGTTATGTACTCTTGGTTAGACCAAAGGGAGTATGCTGAGAAGAAAGGGGATTTCAAAAACAGAGAGGAACTAGCTCGGGGCAGTGATAAGGCATTGCGTGTTGGTCTAGTGGTAATACAGCTTCGTCAGAAAGCACTGGGGCCGCGTGTGTGTATGCGTGGTTTCCCAATCCTCTATGTACAGCGTGAATACATAGTGGAACCGAGCATAATTCAGCATATTTGTTGGCATAATTGTGGCATAATCAAAAGCATAATTGGACGATTGGCCGAGCATACTCCGCCAATGGCTAATGAGGGGTGAATTCCCCGAAACACTGTGTATTGAGCAGGGAGTGGTGCTTTCTTACAGGTTTGCCGAGTCGAAGGTTCGATGGACTTCTCGTGTGCTCTGGATGGCAGTCGTGAGTCAGTCAAGTGTCAAGTAAAGTCGGTGGAATAGCGCGAGCTCCGGTGTGGGGAGCAAACCTTTCTGAATAATAATAATCCTCCGTAATATTGGTCGCTTGGTGCTGGTATGGTGCCATTGGTGGCAAGCCGCAGTGAGTGGTGGTACGACTCCAGCTCCCCTGTCACCACTGGTCACAGTGCCAATCTTCTGTCAAGCCTGTGTCCTGGTGTCCTGCCCTCGTCCTACCTCCGGAGCTCCAGTGACTTCCTGGACACAATGGCTGAATGGGCGATCAGCGCCGTGTGTGGTTAGCATCTGTGCACGTCGTGTGACTCACCATCACAGCATGTCTACGTCTACGCAAGAGCTACACGGACGTGAGAACTGTGGGCGTGTCGAGGGTAGGACTTGTTTGTGTCATTGCTGTGTGGTATCACTGGCTGTCTGGCTCTGTTCACTGCACATACATGTACAGTGTAGAGCACTATGCAGCCTGAGGATCAACTGTTCATGTACATAATCATTATGCACGGGTGTAGTTGTAGTTGTAGATCGAGACTGTGCCAAAAAGGCAACATTATTACCGTCCAATCTTGGTTTTCCGTTCCACCTGGTAGCGGTGGTGCGGGAGAGTCTGGAGACGGCGTGAACACTACTAGCAATCCCGGTGTGTCATACCACAGTCTCCACCTGTGACCGCGTACCGGGGAGTAATACTAATACAATCATGTAGTACCCGTATCTCTACCAGGCATAGCAGGAATACGAGTGCAGTTTACGGACTGTGTCGGTCTTGGCCTCTATAAAACTGCAGTTCCACCGCCGGGTTGGAGGGTCTCAACACGTCGTTACATCGGCACCAGCAAGGCTTGCCAACAATATCACGTCCGTGTTCATACCGCGTCGCATACATGTACCATGGTATACGTCACTGTATCGAACACTAACTTAGCAATTACTTGAAGTATTATTATCATGCTTCTAGCATTGTCATTAGTGCCAACAGTCAGACATGCACTGGACAGTCATGCAGAACTTCAATACCTCGCAGAACTGTGCCAGAACACCTTCCAGAACTGGAACTGGCTGGGTCTTCCGTGATTGTAGATTGTGGTACCGACTAAATTCCTTGATGGGTACATTCATCTGTTATCTTTGACAACCACTGTCATCACAAATAGCTGGTCACGGGTCTATGATGTCATGGTGTCCGTTTTCTGTCACCAAGTAAGTAATTACGGGAATGACAACCCCGAATGGCACGATGACAACCCCGCTGACAACCCGATGACAACCCCAAAGACCAGTATTTTGGAATTTCGCGCGCAAAAGCGAGCATTGCGGAACACGAACACAATGTACATGTATTTGTACTAGTTTGAGTTTGACTGAGCCTGGGCTCTGCCAATTACTACTTCAAGGCCATAATCTGTTCCATACTGTTTCTTGTACATGTAATTCCGCGAAAGAACTTGAGAAAACAGGTGCCACAAAAACACATCCTTCTTCCATGCGCTTAGCCTCGGTCTTTGCACGTTGCCCTATGATGCTATGCCTATGGGCATGGCCCAGGGAGTCGTGGGCTTTCACTACTCCCTGGTGTAGACTAATCTAAATGTCAACACAGAGAAACCATGGGACCACACGGGAACTTGCCATGCTCTGGTCTTGGAGCTGTCTTCTTTCTTCCCGCACCCCTTGCCAACAAAGCTGTCTACTGACTCAGATAAGCACTAACATCGGGTGAGGAAACTCCTGCGGGATTGCACACACCAGAATCAAGCCCATCCACTGCGGAAATCCATTAGTTGCCTGCGTCGGGCGTGGCACAGCCAAGACGACCGCTCCGCCCCAGCTATCTGCTTTACGTACGATTGCTGTTTGAACACCAGAATGGCGCTAGAGCTACATGTACCTTCTAGATCCTTAGCCTAGGGCAACCGCGTGCCCCAGAAGAACTCTGCGTTCCGTGCCGGCGACAGAACAGGAGTCGACAACGTCGGTGGCAGTACTAGTGTCTCGAGGGAGGCGCCTGGGCACAGAGTACAATGGTTATGTAGTCTATTGTCTAGTATTGAGTATTGTAGGTGCACCCTGCAGTGTATACCAAGGTATACCCTGGCTCTAGCTCCCCCTCCTCTACCCACAATCACGCCATGTATACATGTACTAGGTGCGACAATTGACGATGATCATGTGGCTGCATCATCTTGATCAAAACCCAGCCACTTGCACTCTTTACAATGCACTTTGGCCTACAATTATTACAAAGCTACATGTAGCCTTTGAGGCTTTGTACTATTGTAGGCCGCCGCGCCTCGTCCCACGACAACGCGTAGACCCGAGTACAGCCCAAACGACAAGTACAAAGACTACTAGTACTGCGTATAATTACACGTAAGAGACTTGAAGGCCGCTACTACAGTATTACTACAGTGTACTTGACACAATCTTTATTAGGAAACTTGAAATGGAGATGTGAAACACAAATACACCCATGTAGATGGAGCAGCAATGCAATACAATGTCCAAAAACTCAAGAATTCATTATCATGGGACAATGTTCGGACTACTACTAGACTAGCTGTAAATCATGGTAATTACTAGTTCAAAAATGTTGGGGTGGGAATCTCGAGAGTCAGAGGAGGCGCAACGCGTTAATTAACGTCGCACCACCCGGACTGCGGGAGTCCCATGCCCAGACGCGCCTCTGCATGCATTTCACAACTGGGACAAAATCCATTGTACTACAGTACATGATTGTATGTCATGCAGTGTAGTGGTGGCAATGGTCTAGCGCGCACTTGTGCATTTTATTGCGTGTATTTTGCCGGTAAAAGAGGCTTTGTTTTGGAATTTGGATATGGTTGTCCGTGTCGTCTACGTAGTTGTTACTAAATGTTTGTAGATTGTTGTGTGTATGCACATACTCATCGTACAGTACATGTGTAGTTGATTTACAATCATGTACTGTAGTGTACATGCACAGTCACGACATGACGTACATGATTGTATTATCGTGGCCAAGTAACACGTTATGCATCTACAGTTCCAGGCATGCATAGATTAGAATGCCTACAAAATCTTCGCCTACAAAATGAGCATAATAAATTAGTAGGCAGTGCCGCAGGGATCACGTCCACATGGTTCACGATCTGGCGCAGAACAGAAAGAGTTGATCGTCGGCCTGAGCGGCGTGAGTTCTTCGCACTGGCAAGCAACCGTGTGCCACCGGTTTTCATGGCTATCACAGTATACTAGTATCAGTCTCATATCTGGCATAGCGCATAGAATCTACGCAGTGATTGCATGCTTGGATGTGAGTTCGCACACATGGCCGCTCTGGCTCGACAATCAGTGCTGACCAGTCTGTCCATGTATGACGTCCAAGTGTCGGTCTCTCGCACTGGCTTGCCAAAAATTCGGGGCATTTCGCACATGTGCATAGCTATCGGCCAGCGTTTGAATCACACCATGGCAGACCCGTCGAAACCATGGGAGGTCTTTTGGATTGTTGGATCTCTACTACTAGTATTAGTACTAGTGTAGCTCTCAGTACCGTCGACGTCCCTCTTACTCTTTTCTTCACATGCTTGTGATAGTTGCTCGAGTGGCTCTCTCTCTAGAAAGTGCCCAGAACTACTTGGTGAGTATGATTATGAAAGGCCTTACACAGCGACGGCGTGAAAGTAGGAAGGCCTAGCGCCTACGCTCAGTGGCCGGCTCTCGGGTTTCTGCAAACATCTGCGCGTGCTGCAGCTCTACGGCGAGCGCCACAAGCCAAAACTGCGTGTTGCGGTGGCAGCGGCGGAGAACAGGAACCCTTGTCGTGGTAGGAGAAATTCTAAACGACCTAGATCGCAGGTACTAGGTTGACGCTGTGACAGTTCTGCTTTGGAGTGAACGCCGAACTGTGGACTGAAGACATTTTTTAGTAACGAACGTCAGTTAGCCGTGTGTCTGAAAGGGAGAAGATTAATTTTACTGCTGAGTAAGCTTGCTGTCGTCCTGAGTGGATTGTTAGAGCGATGGCGCAGCCACCGAGTGATTACGTTCAGTTGAAAGAAGGTCCTGTGCCCACGGAAGCCGTGGACTACGTTGAGTACGTTCCTGTCGGAGAGGATAGCCATGGATACACCGAAATGATTGGAAAGCAAAAGCAACAGCAGCTACAACAACAACAGCAGCAGCAGCAGCGCTACGTGAAACCCAGCAAGCCCGCCGAGAATGTGTTTGTACCAGTTCACCAGCGCCAGGCTTCACACAGCAGCAAGCATAGCTCTGAGAACGGTCGCTTTGACATGCCGGAGTATATGAACGCTGCCAGTGAGGAGAAACTGCCGCTGTCGACCACCACTCCCGTCAGCGATATTCTTACCCGGAACGGAGTTGGAGGCACGACTTCTTTCAATCCAACTTACGGGAACCTACCGACCGGCAAAACCGTGCAGGGTTCCCTTCAAGCTGACGATCTACCTCCTCCACCACCACCGAATGTTTCGGAAGACGCCGAGCTCCCCTTCTATTCTGGCGTATGCAAAGGACCATCACCCCAACCCAGTCCAGACCTGCCCCCCGCAGTCGTCAACAAGAAGGAAAAGCGCTTGGCCGATAGCGTGCTGTACACACAGCAGTCCGTTCCCAGTAAGGGCCACGGTAGCAGTTTAGTCAGCAGAGAAAGCACGACTACGACCGATTCGTCGGACGAGTACCATCAGCGCAAGCAGTTTGTCCGGACTTTGTTCTGCGCGCTGTTCGTGCTCTTTCTGATGAGTGCGGCGGCGATCGGTCTCTGCGTGTACCTGTTGCTTAGCTGGCCCAGTGATGGGAATAACAATTGCTCGCCGTGCTCTACTGCCACCACTCCGCCTGCGCCACAAATCAACAACCGTAAGTGAAGTGTGGTTTTTGCTGCTGTCATTCTAGCAGGCATAGTGCCAGTGCAGTGCAGTGGTTGTCGTTTGTAGTCTGTGTCCCCTGTTTACTGGTGACTACATGATTGTAGTGCTAGTGCAAGTGGTGTTTAGCCTTAGTTTAGGTGAGAGGCGCACTATGAGTAGGTCTACGAGGCGGGTCACTGTTCCGCAAGAACATCACAATGGGACAGGTGAAGTGTGATGGTTTTGTTCAAAAACCCGTTCGCGTTTCTCTGTTTTTATCGCACGGGGGTATCGTGTAGTGCTATGGCGTGAGGCACCATACCGGTGGTTCGATGGCCTGACACGCAGCGTTGTTCACCCGGAGGTGATGCGCTCGCCGGCAGAAGTACCATGTTCGAAGTCACGCTCGCTACAAATAATTGTACAATGGCTGGCTCGCTCCATTGTGTGTTACCGTTAGTGGTGGAAAGTCGGTAGTTGCCTTTGCATTGGGCCGTTCGCGATGAACTCGTCACACCACCAGAGGCTGGAAGAGATAGCAAAAATGACGCACTTTTAGAAGGCGATCGGGTGGATCTTCTCCTAAAAATAGGCGTGCTCTGAATCCTATAAGTCCTATCTCCAGATCTCGTATGGAACCACTTCCAAAGCTTCTGCAATCGATTCCCGTGCGCAGCGATTCGCACCAATGAAAATAGTTTTAGGTGCCGGTTATCACTACGATCGGAGCTAGCTGGGCATTTCCACACAGTCACAACTGATGCTAGCCGTCACGTCGGTGAACACCTTCGCTGTAGCCTGCATGCTTGCTTCCAGCACCAAATAACAGTTACTGATCTCGGAAATCACACTTCATGTCAAAGCAAAGTTATGGACTGATTTACTCGATCTGCTGACAGCAGATTGTGCTGTTTCGCTCGTTGTAAGGGAGCATCTCATAAGTTCGCATTTTGTTTCTAAACGTAACGCATTTCGAAACGGGGGTAGGGGGGTAGCGCCCTTTTCGAATAGAAAAATGACTGTTCGCACATTTTCTGGAACTGTACAATCTGCTACCATGCTAGATCCCTGCAGCAAATGAGTGTGTTTAGGTGGAGATCTACCTGTGTTTGCAGATCAGCTAACCCTTGCACTGCATGCATGCAGGCTACTCAGAGGTGTCAAATGTCACACCAGCCTGATCAAACCATGTACATGTACCTGGCCAGCGTTTACAGCAGTACAGTTGTTGTGGAGGAACTATGTTTATGTGCGTGTACATGTCATTGATTCTACTTGTACTCAGTAAATGCGGTACTACTGTATGCCATTCACGGCCGCTCTAGCAAAACATTCATATCCATGTACATGTACAATCATGTACATAAGCATACCATAGCATGGGGCATGGACGTGTACATGTAGTGTACAGTAGATAAACACAGAAAATGTGCGATAAGACTTTCAAATAGAGGGGGGAGGTAGGGGGGTAAAGTCTATTCGAAATGCGTTACGTTTGCAAAATAAATGCGAACTTATGAGATGCTCCCTAACTGTTTTTTTGTGATCGCTTGTAGAGTCGTGTGATTTTTGTACATACCTGTGCTCGCAGCGTATGGTTGTAGTTTGAGTGCCGCCTTGTGAATTAGTCAGTTGTGGAGTGTCAAATAGCCTGATTGTCATCTCTGAAAACTCTTTTTGTCACCACATGAATCAGACAATCCTATCACCAGTCTGTTGCTGCACTAAGTACCTTCAGCAGCAGCAGCAGCAGTGGGGAGACCATACATGGGATAAAAACTGTGAACCTGCATTTGAAGCAGAGGGGAGTTGGTCACGCCATGGGAAGCTGTTGTCCATGGTGGCATGTAAAGAAGCGTTCCTGTGCACTGCGTTTCATTCGGTGGGCTTCCCCTGGCCTGCTTGTGTGGAACAAGGACAGACTCTGGAGATACGGTCCGCAAATGCCCGAGCTAGGATGTGACACATCACGAGCATTGCTCCGAATACGCTCGGCGTGTGCGCAAGCCTAGTCTTATCCGGTGTTGAGAACTGCTGCCGCCTCTATGTTGCCCGTATACTGAGTAACTCATCATTTTAGTGTTGCATAGAAGGCAACTTCAAGTAAATAGTAGTAGTAGTAGTGGATATTCGTGGCAGAGCTAGTGAAAACACGGAAGTACAGGACTAGCTCACTGTACTAGAACATATGGGACAACGTCAGCACATGGGCCACAGAGTACAACACCTCTGGTCGGTTGTGACTAACAGTTTCACGCTGTATGGAAATCTGCAGACGACTAAACCGGACGATGTCAGCAAAAGACCTTTCTCGTGACGGTTTCGGTTGGCCATAATAAAATGATTAATAATGCACCGGGCTCATAGCGGACTGGCTGGTTACAGGCCTTCTACTCAAACTTGGGCAGTTTTTTTCTTCAGCCTATTGGCGAGGCTAAGTATTGCATAGGAAACTGCATGCCCCATTGCTTGGGTATTGATCCAGTCAGTGTGCAGGCTGGGACCGTCAGGACAGACTCAGGGCGGATGGCACTGCTTGGCGTGAAGGCAAAGAGACACCGTGATTAATACTGTGCAATAACACAGTGGTGGGTGTAGTAACATTTGTACTTCATATGTATTCTAGTAACATTTGTACTACATATGTATTCTAGTGCATTGCAACTATCATTGCTGGGCGACAAGATCAAGAGGGCCAGGGAATGTGCTCATTGTGGGCAAAACTAATGAACCAAGTTGTCCTGCTGTGATTGTTTTGGAGTATTCTTGTGACTCTTGTCTACCATGCATGTTGTGTATTATTTATTTCACTTTCCCGTGGCCTGGGAATATAGGCCAACATGGAGGGAGGGGGCTGATATAAATATATTAGGACAGCTTTAGCTGGTCAAGTGGAAGGATATGGGTATTTTGGTCTACTCTGTGCATGCAGCACTCTTCTTTTACTCAACATACATGACTCACACATAACGGGGAATAGATGGTATTGGAGAGTTAATTTTTTAGTACATGCGTTGAACGGACTGGCCCAGTGTTCTTTAGTCTGCGGTTAAAGTCAAGACTGACCATCACCAGCATTCTTTGGGTTTGACAGGGATTGGTAACTTTCCTAGGAAGTTTTACTTTGGCAGATGTGTTGTGCTGCTGAAACATTTTCAGGCACTCCTTAAGAGTCCTTGCTTCCGTTTGACTCCAATTATCACCATACTGCCACTGGTGCCATGGTCAAGTGCAGCCAGTGGAGAGGCAGGACTCCATTCTGAGAAACCTGTTGACATTTTGCATCCTAGATCAGCCTCGTGATCAGGCCGCAGCATTATACACTGAGGCCTTAGCTTAGGGAGGTGAGTGGAAAGGGCCCTGCATGGCTACTGATATTAAAGAGGCTATGTGATTACGTCATCATGTGTGGTGTTTGTATGTAGTGACATCACAAGCACTGGTTTTCTACTCTATACAAAGCATAATATTGTACATGATGATGTCATTCCTTTACATCATCATTTGAGGTGCGTTGTATGCAGTGGAATCATACAGAATGTGTACTTCGAATTATGATGATGTCATTTCAAGTTGTCCTGTTCTATTGTAATACATGATAATTATTGTAGCTTTTGCCATGGATTTGTACTGGCAGATCAGCCCATTTTAAAAGTAGTCTTTCATGGCCCGCAATCAGTATCGCCGTGTGGGCCATGTCAGTGTGGGCCATGTCAGTGTGGGCCATGTCAGTGTGGGCCATGTCAGTGTGGGCCATGTCAGTGTGGGCATAGTGTTAGTGTGGGCCATGTCAGTGTGGGCCATGTCAGTGTGGGCATAGTGTTAGTGTGGGCCATGTCAGTGTGGGCATAGTGTTAGTGTGGTACATGTCAGTGTGGGCATAGTGTTAGTGTGGGCATAGTGTTAGTGTGGGCCATGTCAGTGTGGGCATAGTGTTAGTGTGGGCCATGTCAGTGTGGGCATAGTGTTAGTGGTAGCAAGGTTTACAGAGGTTTGTGTGCATTAGTAAAAAATCAAAGAGAGAAAAATCCCATCCATGTTCAAGCCATGATTTGACTGAGTGTTTCCAAAGCCATTTAGCTGCAGCCAGGCACATGGCATTATGTTTTCCTATGGGGTACTTCAAGGAAGTACTTGTGGACAACAGCTCCCCGATGATTGCCATTGGACATGGCTAAGTGGCAGCCAGCTGATTCTCCTGATACCCAACTATTACTTGGCAGAGTCTGGTTTCCTGCGCACTTGTAGCTTATTACATTGTAATCCTGCTAGCCTATCGGCATGTGTATAATGACTTTAGCAAGATTTTGGCGGGAACGTGGAAATAAATAATGATATCCCATGTACAGTTGGTTCCATTGATGCTGGTCCAATGCATGGGGCCCACTTCAAGTGGATCTTAAGTAGAGCCATTCTTATCACTTCCTTTCCTTCAGCTGTCTCCTAGAACTCTTTGCCTGCTGTCTACTATCACCAACTACATGATGTACTAGGAGCCATAATAATTATGATCAATACAGCAAAGTAGTTTCCAATGAATGCCCGGATACTTTGGGACCAACCCTAGTTGAAACCATTCATGGCAAGCACACCAAACATCGAAAGGCCATCAAAAATACTTTCTTCAGATCCCTGACTAGCCCCCCCCCCCCAAAGCTTGTCTTCTCACCAACTTGATCAGATAAACAACACAGCCCGGAATGTTGTAAATCAAGAATAGTGTTGCCTGATGATTGCATAAGTATGAAACTCGGACGGTAACGACAAACTAGCCTTGCTTGCCCTTGTTGTTCCGTGTAAATCAAGAATAGGGAGGTTTCGCTCTACGTAATTACGTATGAAAATCCGTATGCCGTATGCGCCTGGGAGCGAGGGCAACTTTCATACGTAAATCTCTCTACGGATTTCCGTAGGAAAGCCGTTTCCTACTTTGGGTCCTCCGTAGGACTTAATGAAATATTTTTCGCACGTTCCGAAATTATCCCGGCAATTTTCAAAACGTCCCTTCTATTCCTAGTTTCCTATGCGACCAGTTTAGACATCCTACAGTACATTTCAAAACTATAGACGCGTAGGGTTTTTGAAATATTTCAAATCTGGCTGGAACTTTTTGAGAATAGTTTTCGGAATATTGCTCAAGATCGCTCCACAATTACTCTCATATAGTTTCTAAAGGATTGGATAACAGACGCCCAATTTGGAAAAAATGATGCACAAAGTGATCACAGATTTTATGTGGTATAGATGCTGGCATAACGGTTTTTGCCTAGGTACGCGTCTATAGTTTTGAAATGGACTGTAGATCCTGAAGTCTGGGCCATTTTCGATTGTATTTGTGTCATGTCAATCCAGTGCCTTCGTCTGTACTTGATCAAACCCCGGTAGTCGATGGGAAAAACGACTCCTTGGCTGTTCTGGCCGTGGAAGGCATGCGGTCGTTGGAGGAGAGGCTGGCACTTCTTGAACGGACGGTGAGTGCTGAGGTGGATCCCACGACGACGCCGGGGCTTGCTCGACACGACAGCAAGTTGACGATGCACGTGTGTGTGTGTATGTGTGTGTGTGTGTGTGTGTGTGTGTGTGTGTGTGTGTGTGTGTGTGTGTGTGTGTGTGTGTGTGTGTGTTTGGACAAGTATCGTAGTGCGCATGCATTGGTTGCACACACACAGAGGGCTCTCCTCGCTCAGTGTATTCACAAGCAGGTTGTGCATGCATGTACACTTTCTACACACAGGCACACATGACAATGACAGCTGTTTTGTCAAAACTGACTCTGCCTTCGTATATCAAAGACCACATCAGAAAGGGTAAGACAGCCCCGCTATGTTATGGGGTAGAGGTGGTGGAATGGTGTACTCTTTACACGTTCTGCTCTGCTTATAGCTAGCTGTTGCGCATCTATCACATGACCATGCAGGGCAGCCATGTTGTTTACAACTCCACTCAACCCCTGCACCCATGGGTCACATGATGTTGGCCGTGTTGGTTCCACTGTCCACATGCCAGTGCACTTTCTACACATATGCAACCGTGTGGCAAAGTTATTGGAAACCACTCTATTGTTCTGTACTAATACCGGTATGCACCTGTGATGATGTCTTTTGTTTCTTCATCCTTCCTCCCCTGTGCAGGTAATCCCATCCGAGGATTACGCGCTTGACAAGGGGGTCTTTGACAATAAGGTGCTTAGTGTGTGCTGTTGTGATACCTTGCTTAATGTGTGCTGTTGTGATACTTTGCTAACATTAAACATGAGTACAGCCAGACCTCGCTTAACCGCACACACACACACACACACACACACACACACACACACACACACACACACACACACACACACACACACACACACGCGCGCGCGCGCACACACACACACACGCATCCGTTTTCCACAAAAAATATCCTGATAGGCGAGGGAACCGGGTAACCGAATACCGGGTATGCTGGACGCACCACGTATGCTGTAAACCTGTAACCAGCTATTTTCTGCCGGATGGCGAGGGATCCGGATAAAAGAGGACCGGATAAGCGAGATCTGACTGTACAGGAACATTCGATACAAGTTCACAATTGTGTAAGGGGGGGGGGGGTGGGAGGAGAGTCTCCCCAAACCAGGCAAGTATTAAACTTTGCTATGCTGATCCCAATGCTCACTATGGCAGTTGTGCCCGCCGTGCATTCCGAGAACTGGGTGCGTACCGGCGTGTGGCCGATTTCTCAGCTGCATTGGCTTTGTGTGGCCCGCTACGCACTACGCACACCCCGCTGTATCTCATCAAAGTGCGCGCACGCACACGCACACACACACACACACACACACACACACACACGTAGCTACTTTGCTGGCTCGCGACGTAGGTGAGCTTTCTCGCAGAACTAGGCCCATGTGCACATTACTGGAATAGCTGCAGAGTTGCAGATAGTGACGCTCCACAAGAATGCAAGGCTCACAGTGTGTTTGAAGCCAGAGTAATATTGCACTTGTTTGAAATGATTGTTGATTGGGTGATGGCGGCGGCCTTCCTGCGGATGCGGAAAACTCTGTCTTATGGCGTCTCGCGCGAACCGTAATTTTTTTGTGATTGTCCAATTAAATTTGGGCTCTGGAGAATGGTGTGTAGTGTAAGGTATCCCGGATTAGCCGTGCGTGTTTACGGCCGGTTTGGTACTTGTACTACTTGGCAGTACATGCTTGTTGTATGCAGCTCAATACTGCTCTCCTTTTCATTCTGCTCTCTTTTCATACTGCTGTCCTCTCGTACTGCTCTCCTTTTCATGCTGCTATTCGTAGATTCAAAACGCGGAGGCAGCGCTTGCATCGCACCAGTCGTCCCTGAGAAACTTCAAACAGTATCAAAACAGTGTAAGTGAAAGCGAGAGTGAGTTGCGCAAGTGATGTATGATCTGCTGTCATAGTTTGGTGGCTACGTCGCGTCCTAAAGGTTAAGTAGTGTGTATGTGTGTGCGTGTGTGTGTGTGTGTGTGTGTGTGTGTGTGTGTGTGTGTGTGTTGTCGTAATTGCTCTGATTTCCTTGCACAGACGGTACAAGTCCTGGAAGCTATGTCTGCAGCTGTCAGTGAAGTGCATCAGAATTTCACAGAGGTATGTATGACCTTGACCACATTTGCACTGCCTGGACTGAATCTCACACTCTCACTGAGATTGGGTGGCTGAATAACCGTACCCCTGCAGCTCAGGACCTGATCCCCGAGACCTTGACTTTGTATTTTTTTGTAATACCTATCTGAGACTTTTTCTCCCTTTTCAATACCCTCACGGCTATAAAATATCTAAAATTTGATTATACTTTGGAGTGCTTCCCTTTACACTGTGTTGTCGCCCTAGCAAGTAATGAGGGATGGAGATATAAGCACCATCCGTACAATGTTGAGCTCACTGAAACAAGAGGTCTCCCCAACACCCGTGACCCGATGCTCTGCATTGATTCAGGTCTATCCTGACGTTTTCGCGCGGACCTTGATGCTCATATGACATGCTACAAACGCTCCACTAGTACTCCTTTATATCTGCATCTGGCTCAGCTCTCGGTCAGTCTGATAGCTTTGTCTGGTCCACATGGTCATGGTGTGAATGATGTGATGGCTGCTAGTAAATAGTGTTGTGTACAATTTGTGTGTGATTGTGTCTTTGCGTAGGCGGTGGCGGGCTTCGACCAAACGCTGCGTGACAGCCGGGTTTTCAGGGTAAGTGAAGTTTAGCGTTGGCTTGACGGGTTCTGTTATGCACATTACCAAGAGTCCATAAACAAGAGTATGCAACTGTGATCTCTTTTCTGTGGGCCAGATGCGCGGCGCGCTGCCTTCATTACATCATTCAGCTGCAGTCCGCGCACTGCGGAAAATCAAACACCGCACTTTCCCTCCAGTTTGAAATGAACTTTCGTACGGAACTGGAGTTCACGCGCCAGAATTCAGAGATTGTGTAGGTACTGGAACGAATCGAGCAAAAACGGATGGGCTCGTGCGAGAAATTGAGAGTTTGAATGCATGCTTTCAGAGCGAGATGAAGGCAAGTTACGTAATGAAGGCAGCGCGCCGCGCACTGACCCATAACCACAGTTGCATACTCTTGTTTATGCACTCTTGACATTACTGCTATCAAGAGTGAATAAGCGACCAAGGGAGTGCTATTTTATTACTCCGCTGCTCTCTAGAACTGGCTGGAAATGCCCAATGGGAACACTACACCGCGTGATATGAGTTTTTGCCGTTGGCGAGCCCCACGGAAAGGGTGTCGGGCGTTGAGATGTTCTGCTCTACGTTATAAAAACGCGGCGCAAAGAATCCTGGGAACTCTCTTCACGTTCCCGTAACGTAAAGAAAATCGATCCTGCTCTCCGTTCACGTGGAGAAATCACGTGGAATGTGTACTGGGAATTTCCCCTTCCATATTCGGCAGTTTTCTGCCTGCACTTGAATGATACCCAATACATCCGTACGCATTTTCTTTGCATGGGCCACAACATAGAGAACCTCATTTACGCGTAAAAATCCGGACCTAAACCATGCGAATCCGTAGACTCTAACCCAGACTCCTGCTCTCTACGCGGTTTCTCTACGTTTCACGTATAGCAGAATCTCTCTACTCTTAGGAGCTTACGTGTATATACTTTTGCTGCTATGCACCGCACTGCTCGATGAAATCCGACTGAGTACGTTAAGGGACCATCGCAAAAGTTCGCAGAAGCCCCTGAAACGAAGAGCATACGTTTGGGGGGGAGGGAGTCGGTGCGAAAATCGCAAACCGGGCTTCAATTCAAAAAAGTATTGACGACATAATTATAGGAGCTGTAGGATTAGCATGCCATCACAGCCGGCGTAGATCGCTTGAATGTGAAAGCAATATACACCAATCAACGTTCATTGTAATGCTCAAAGGATACAACTGCATAGCTCTAGCTGTTCTCGTTCTTAGATCACCCACTGCAAGGTGATCATCGTTGCATTTATAAAGTGCTGTACATTGTTACACACTGATACAACAATGCTTGTGTAGTATATTATAATAATAATATTATTATGTGTGAGCATCCAAGTGAAAAAATGAAGCCCATATTGTGACTGTCGTTTCGTTTGAGGGGGGAGGGAGGGGGTCAGGCCCGAAACTCACGGTCTTCGTTTCGGGGGCTTCTGCGAACTTTTGCGATGGTCCCTAAGCCTGCGCCCTGCACCAGTGCAAACGTCCAGTGCTCACAAGCCTGGAGCTACATAGCGCCCCGGCTTTACATGGGCTGGCATGATCAGATTTCACTGAGCAGCACTGTGTGATTAAGATACAGTGCGTACTGACATTGTATGTGAAGTAAAACCTGTGTTTGCCGTACCCTGTGCTAAGCGAAATCCCCAAGAGTGTGCAACTCCTGATACCCTTTCTATGGGGTTCGCCGACGGCGAAAACTCACATCACGTGGTGCAGTATCCCAGTTGTACGTTTCCAGCCCGGTTCTAGCGAGCAGCGGAGTAATAATAAAAGCACTCCCTGGCAGAAACTCACTGTGTGTATGCAACTCGTCCCGGCATAATCATGGCAGATTTTCAGATTGCGCACACGCTATACTTAGTTGTACGTAGTACAAAATGTACCTGAGACGCGCGATGCGAGTTTTCGCCGTCGGAGACCCCATATGCCGAGTTGCACACTCTTGGGGGGTTATTATACGCTTGGTGTTACTGACACTAACTGTACAATCCACTGGATTGACATAGGGTTTCCAGCGTGTTGTTGCTGCGAAGCACATGCTGTGTACAACAATATCATTGCTCCAAGCGTGCCTATATAAATACATGTTTGGCATCCGGCATACAGTACTGTGTACCTGAATGCTCTCTGTCTCTCTGCCTGTCTGTCTGTCTGTCTGTCTGTCTGTCTGTCTGTCTGTCTGTCTGTCTGTCTGTCTCTCTCTCTCTCTTTGGTTCCTACTGACTAGAACTGCAAAGCAATGCAGAGTAGATGTGTTGGTGATGCGACACCGTCGACCCTTGCTGAGTACGACACGGTTAAAGGGTGCTTGATGTACAAGGAAGAGGTGCCAGCGGTAAGCTCTCTGCCTGTCTCTGTGTCGTGGTGTGTGTGTGTGTGTGTGCGTGTGTGAAATTGTGCCAGTGCATCTAGTGTCTGCTTCTATCAAAGCAGCGTGCTGTCTATACTGGTTACCCCAGCAAGTGTAGGGTGTGCATAGGTAACTGTCTTGGCCGTTTTATGCTGATGTACTCCGTGTGGTGTAGACCAGGTACACATTGGTGGTCGATTAACATGGAATCGCCAGTTGTGTGGATTACTACCAGGATTAGCCAGTTATCTGGCGCTAGTCTTGCTCTTTCTCATTCAGATCTTGTTCGCTATCGTTGCCATAAGAGAAAATCTGTGGATGCACATCCAGTGCATTTGCAGATTTGCGTGCTTCTCTTGTGACGGGCATATACGTGGTACACTCATACCTTACTTATCCGGGCGCTTCGGGACCGGACACTGCCCGTAACTTCGAGGGTGCCCGTAACTCTGAATCACATACATTTTGATTGGGAAAAGGCCATCGATATGGCATATGACGTCAATATTTCTACGAAAAGTGACAAAAGAGTAGTAATATTTCCCCTGAAACTCGCCCAAATAGTGCCCGGTAGACCGAAGTGCCCGTAACTTCGAAGTCCGGATAAGCGAGGTATGAGTGTACATGGTGTGTGTGTGTGTGTGTGTGTGTGTGTGTGTGTGTGTGTGTGTGTGTGTGTGTGTGTGTGTGTGTGTGACTATGTTGAGTACGGTGGGACGATTTCTATCCGCACCGAGGCTTCAAGCCTCCCCAAAATGGAGTCGGGTTGAAAGTTAGCCGGTCTCGAAAGCAACGCGTCAAACTAACTCCACTGTCATATTCGTGCCATTGATTGGTGTACAGGCAACTGTTCTGGATCAACCAATGATCCATTCTCGTGAAAGGCATCGTATGTTGTGACACGTGTTGATGTGTTTTGAAGTAGTAATTTCACACACGAGGTGCATTTCATCGCTCTTTTGTACTTCCACTGCCTCCGTGTTGTGCACAGGGTCACGAGCTGATTTCAGTGAATTGTGAGGCGGAACAGTCTTACGTCGTTCCCATGCTGAAGCGTGAGAGCGACCTGAAAAACGTGACCGCCCCACTGGCGTACTCGTGCCATTGCTACATCCCAAAGGACCTGTTCCAGCCACGCGTGAATGTCGCGTGCTCGTTCCGTATGTACACATGCGAGCTGGCACAGTTGGTAACATAGGTATGAGCAGCTAACTGTTGGCGTCTTCAGAACTGCTGCTCGTGGCGATGATGGCCATGATCAGCAGCGGAAGCAATGGTCTAGGGCCAACCAAGATTGACCGGGTTGTTGACTTGTCTCGACCTTGGTTCGCTCGGCAGTTTGGACATGAGGTCAATGCTATGCTGTCACCACCGACACCTGCTTTAGGTAAATTCCTGGATGCTGCCCAGGCTTGTGGAGTTGAGATTGCTAACCGTGAACTTTTCGTTTTAGTGTAATGCATCTGGCGCAGCGGAATATGTGCACGAGGCAATCATATGAGGCTGATACTCGCAAGACTGAGTGCTATAATAACACCCATTGTGTTCTGCAAAGACTTAGCTCAGTAGGTTCAACTTTCAATCATTTGCCGCCAGTAGAGAAAAGGGTCTATAATTTTCATACTGTGTAAATAAGCCTACGATTCCTTTCAAAGCTTTTGTTTACTCTGCTGCTGTTGAAATCGAACATACATGATTATACAGGTACCAACACTTGAGCGATAGGTTTTTCATGTTGCTTGTCCTTGTTTCAAACTAAATTATAGTTTTTTTTTCTCTGTACAATGAATAGTGTAGTATATTGTATACCTCAGTTCTAGGCGTCTTACGGGCCAGGAATGGATGACTTATGGTTATGGTACTCCCAGCTTTCTGTTCTTTTGCATGCGAATCTGTTTGCAGAGCCGAAAAAAGACTTCACTGGCATATGTTGCCCAGCTTCAAGATTGTGCCCTGCAGAACCATGGTATTACAGTGTGGGCTGGCTGCTAGACCAGTATGGCATTTCCCTGGCATTGTACCCAGGCCAGTAGGGAGTCAGTTGAAAGGAGGGGGTCAAATGACAGGCAAAGGATACCGTAGTGTCTTGTATATAAGCCTTTTTCTCATTTAGAAGCCTGATTTTTCAAGATGCACAGTCGGCACACAAGCATGGTTTTAGTGTTGACATACATAGAAATACTTAGAAGCCTGTCTCATATAGAAGCCTGCAAAATTCCCCCAGAAAGGTCATAAACCGCGGCTTATAATATACACGACTTTACGGTACATAATGATATGGTCCTAAGAAAAGTACTCTATATCCAATGCAAGTACTAAAGTAGAAAAAGTATGTGATGCCCAGGGTACTAAATACTAAGAATATTGAAGTTGCACTGCACATGAGTGCACTCAGACCACTACATATACATGATGTGTGCAGAAAGAGTGCATGTTCTACAGTCAAGTACTGTAAATCAACAAATATCCGGCGCGTATTTATTTTCGGCTACCGTAGAATCCCGCGGATAAACCCAGGCCAAGTTCGAACATCACGAAGCTTCCTCGTACAAGCCCATGGGCCTACTTCAAGTAGGTCGTACCAAGAGTCCATAAATCAGGGACTCTTGGTCGTACCATGTGCATGTGCGCAGTACAAGTCCTGGAGTTTTTTATTTTTTTACATTTCAACACAATCATCAGTTGTTTTTGTTTGCACAATGGTTTTCAGCAATATCTGTCCCCACAGGATACCGCGATTCCGCGGACGCGGAATTTTCCGCGTTATTGGTTATCATCCGCGTTTTCGTGAGATTTCGCATAAATCCCGCGTTATTCATGAGAATGTACAAGAAAATAGTGCATGCTGCGCTGTTGAAAATGTACTACAAAGTCGTATGGGTTCATGAGTTTGTACGACAAAGTTGTATTCTTGCAGGGGACTGCACGCTAAAGTTGTACCAGCGACAGATAACTCGTGCATAATGACCGCATTAACCCGCATATTTGCCGCATAATGGCCTGTTTTCGCCCGCATAATTTTAGGATTTTGTCCGCGTTATTCGGTGGGGACAGCAATGTACTTCTCACTTCCTTGGTACTTTTCAATAGCACAATTTTGGTGTCAGTGTATAAGCCCACCGAAATGTACTTGTGAAACAGATAAGCCCATGGGCTCAGCTGCAGGATTCGGCCGAAATATAATATTATTCTTTCACATTGAATCTTGCAAACAAAACTTGTTCAATATTTCGGCCTTGTACCTTGCAAACAAGTATCAGTATACTGGTATACAGGCAGGGGTAGCACAGGCTGAAATTTATATGGGGCACAACAGTGTTTATTATAGCCTTTGGAGGCTGAAGACGTGTGAAGCTTAAACGCGCTGAAAATCATTTGTAGACTACCTACTAGAATTACAGTCTTTTTACGTCAAGCATCACTCATGTGAAATCTACACCGTGATTGTTTTCGTCAAATATCATATCTTCTCTTTTCTCTCTCTGCCGCGGTGCTTTTTGTCACTCCATTGTCGTGAGTTCCCTTTGGAACGTAGACGAGAATTATTATTATATTATTATCACACATTACTCGGCATGATCGCTCTCCTTCGAGTCAACCCAAACGAACTCACACTTACAGTGCACACGTAGTTTTAATTTGATTACCGGTGTACTGCCTTGACAGACTCTGTTGTACTTGCAGTATTAAAGGGGAAGTTAAGGCAAAAATTAAAATTTCACCAGTTGTAGTCTTCGGGGTGCTGAGTCGAATGGTCGTGGTCCGAGGAAGCTGAGACACTCCCTTCCTACTTGAATCCCAATCGAACTCGCGCACTCCCACTGAAACTGGGTGACTGCGCCCTACTAGATGGGGATTTGTATGCAAAATGTCACTAAAAGCGCCATTTCGTTCTTATAAAAGCATGGATGACCGCGATTGGCCCATATGTTGTAGTCTTTTGGACGCTGAGTCGATTGGTTTTGGTCCGAAAAGGCTGCGATGCAGCGTTCCTCCTTTATTCCCAATCGAACATGGTTGAACAAGTGGTCACGTGCTCCTGCGTACGCCAGTCACCTGGTCACCGTGCCTGCAGGGTACAACTTACTAGCCTGTTTGACCTTTTTTGGGTGCAGTCCTGTCACTCGAGTTGAACCTTGGTGTGTGAAAGTTGTCGCCTGCTGGCGCCATGGCGTGGTGACCATGGTGACCAGGTGATTTGGGCACCCAGGAGCACGTGACCGCTTGTTCAACCATGTTCGATTGGGAATAAAGGAGGAACGCTGCATCGCAGCCTTTTCGGACCAAAACCAGTCGACTCAGCGTCCAAAAGAGTACAACATATGGGTCAATCGCGGTCATCCTTGCTTTTATAAGAACGAAATGGCGCTTTTAGTGACATTTTGCATACAAATCCCCATCTAGTAGGGCGCAGTCACCCAGTTTCGGTGGGAGTGCGCGAGTTCGATTGGGATTCAAGTAGGAAGGGAGTGTCTCAGCTTCCTCGGACCACGACCATTCGACTCAGCACCCCGAAGACTACAACTGGTGAAATTTTAATTTTGCCTTAACTTCCCCTTTAAACACTACAACTACAATTATGTACATAGCATAGCTGCATACCTTACTGTCCTTTCAGAATCGTATACTCATGTGAACTACATGTATTGCAGTATGCACCCGCTTACTGATCCTCATGCACTTGTGAGACTCGTGGCAGCATTGTAGTCTGCAGAAGTGAGCCCAACTGTAGGCGCAGCTTGTTGTTCCACACTGTTTCACAATGCAAACACGCACTTGTACTGTGCAAGTGTATGACCACAGCACTCTCGATCGACTCCACAACTTTGCCCGCCGTCATTTCCACCTCACCGACAAGATGAGCGGCAGGAAATGTCTAAGGACTTCAACCAGAACTACTTTGTACATGTAAATAATTCCTTGCCAAAACGGCAGACAGCAGCACGAAATAATTTTTATCATCGATCGAAGACAAAACATTCAAAAAGTGGATCCACGGCCGGCCACTCAATTTTTATGGTTTTTTTGTGGCAGAGTATGGACCGTCATTTTGTTACCATGGGAATGTTCAAATAGAGCCTGCGCAAAATACAGTAAAATGGCGACTGCTGTTTTGTTGATTCTCTTTGTCGACGGGCAGCTAGCACGATGGTGGGTTTCTTTATGGCTCCTTCTGTAGTACTTGAACGACCTCGAGGAAAGATATGTTTGGCTCATATGTGTAGGTGAACATCCCCAAGACGCGGAGGACTCATTGTCCTGCCGCGAAATGCAAGAAGCACACGCTTCATAAGGTCACCCAGTACAAGAAGGGAAAGGATTCCCTCTTTGCTCAGGGTATGTTGCATTGGCAGGTCTGAGTCTTTTGAAGAGGTGGATATCTCGACAACTGTTATTTCGCCGTTATGTATTTCTATAGGTAAGCGTCGTTATGACCGAAAGCAGCGTGGATTCGGTGGACAGACTAAGCCAGTCTTCCACAAGAAGGTACGTGTTTGCCCTGAGAATCGGTGCAAATTTTGTTTTCAGAACTACTTGAAATGAAAAATGTACATGGTTGTTCGTGTACCCGAGTCAATGATAGTTCATGTGACAAGCTACTAATATTGGTTACATTTCCACCGTTGCGAGTTAGTGCTAGTTTTATTACGGAACATTTTGATCGTGATAATGTACGACCAAAGATTAAAATATATTTCAAAATAACTGTCCAGTAATTGTATACTGCTTTCACTCATAATGCCTTATGTGTTATTAGGCTAAGACCACCAAGAAGATTGTGCTGAAGTTGGAATGCACCGTGTGCAAGCAGCGCCGTCAGCTTCCCATCAAGCGTTGCAAGCATTTCGAGCTTGGAGGTGACAAGAAGAGAAAGGTAAATTTTGATGTACTACTTCTAGTTCCATTACAGATTCTGACTAGTGATCTCTCAATTGCCCTGTTTGCCACTGTAGGTGGATGTGCAGAACGTATTACTGTTCTTCCTCATTTTATGGGATATCTGTACAGACACAATGCAGTGTTCCCCCATGTATCCCTGTCTGCATGTGACTGATATTGTTGCCTGGTTTTGGGCAAGCCATCTTCAATGACCGGCATGGATCTAGCTCCATGCGATCAGCTTCTCATCACGATGCGAGACGAATACTGATGTGAACTCTGCAGCAGCCTTTTTGTTCTAACGATGCACGAGGAAGCTCTTTTCTGTAGCAGAGATCAGTTCAGTATTTCGTACCCACTTGATGGATTTAGATTGCCCATTCCGGTACATGTAATGTCTGTTCACATGGTTGCATTTACTGTACACATTTGGGAGAAGCATATCAAATTCCCACCTTTGTGTTAGCGACGGTGCAATTTACATCATCACTTTGTGTTTCTATGTTTTATTTATTGTTGTGTACAGGGCCAGATGATCCAGTTCTAAATGTTCCGTCAAATACAGACTTTGAAAGACAATATCAAGGTCCAGTTGATGTGGGTGTATGTGTGAATTGGTTGTGAGGCATCTTCGATTGCCTGTGAACTGATGCGTCTTCAATAGGGACCTTGCGTTTGCATGGCGTCCTGTCCCTCTTTACTGCAGTTGCGCTCTGTGAAGTCAGACCGGGCCGGGGTGCACATTTTGCGCCCTGTTTTTGCACGGCCCTTGACGCCCTGGGAGTGGCACGAATGCGGCTGGGTGTACACATGTACAAATACGATGATGTAATCAGAACTGGTCCAGGGCGTCAGCTTTGCACTTTGGGTTGGATTTCACCGAGCACAACTGTAGGTGTGTGCATGTGACCTGCACATATGAATGGTCAAAAATCATGTGCAGAATAAGGAGAGCTTGTAGGTTGTGCAACTGTGGATATTGATGAGTGCGTGGCACGCTGCCTCCATTACGTTACTTGCCAGTGTCGCACCGTGGTTGTGTAGTGAAGTCCATAACCTCTGGTACATACTTCGTTCTGGTTTTGGTTCCTGCCATTACTTCTAGATTTCAGTTGCATGAATTTTGGTTCAGTGGGACAGCTGTTTTCAATGTGCAAGGGAAGTGTGGTTGTGCTGGCTTGTTCCACAGTATGTACTATGTAGTTGCATGTCGTGATAGTGGTAGCGTGCTGCGCATCTTGCCCATAAAAATGGTTGCATAGTTGGAAACAGTTTTCTGATAATTTGAACCTCCACTTACATAGAAAATGTGTGGGATTTGTGCTGATAATTCGAAGTTAGCAAGGTGTAATTTGAAGTTCATTGTACACTCTACTGGTCAGTTGAGTTTGCATGAGTAGGCTGTGCCGGTCAGTTCAGTATCTGTGTCTAAGGTCCATAGCGCAACTATGCGTGACCATGAGAGCATTTTGACATACATATTGTCAAGAGTGCATAAACAAGAGTATGCAACTGTGGTTATGGGTCAATGCGCGGTGCGCTGCCTTCACGCTCTGAAAGCATGCATTCAACTCTCAATTTCTTGCACGAGCCCATCCCTTTTTGCTCGATTCGTTCCAGTACCTACACAATCTCTGAATTCTGGAGGGAAATTGCGGTGTTTGATTTTCTGCAGTGCGTGGACTGTAGCTGAATTATGTATTGAAGGCAGCGCGCCGTGCATCTGGCCCATAGAAAAGAGATCACAGTTGCATACTCTTGATGGACTCTTGATATTGTGTTGTGGGTTCATGTTTGAATACTGTAGAGGCAGAAAATTTCGTCCAACTCCAAAGAAAAGGAGTTCGTCCGGTTGAAAATTTCGTCCATGGATCATAAGAGTGTATAGAAAAGCTGGACAAATCGATATTCGTCCTACATTTAATTTAGTCCAAAAGCTCCTTGGACGAAAAAGACGAAATTAAATTCCGGACGAATATTTCTGCTTATACAGTAATTAGAAGTTTTTTCCTGGCATTTCGAGGTTCGAATTATCAGGATTCCACCTGTACCCGTTTATCATCTTTGTGTCTTTGTACACTGTTTCACCACGGGTCTAATAGGCAGACCGGCAGTACAGTAGAGTCGCACGCCGAAGTTTGGAATACAAAGAGCGCCACATCACGTTGGTGTTGGTTGTCTGGCAGCTTTTGTGCTACATGTGTTAAAGTGTTGTCGGGTTCAGCACCCATATGGTTCAGATGGTCCCAGACGGACCGGGGCCCTACCAACCGTGGATGGTTGTAGAAAGGTCTCTGTTTCCGAACACTGTGTCCTCCACCTTGTTTCATGCTCTCAAACCAACATGTGTGAACTATAACAAGGTTTATCTAATGCCACAGGCAGGCATAGTGGGATGGTCTAAGACCATGATTGAGAAACAGAGGGTACCAGGTTCAAGTCCTGCTTGGAAGCGGAAGGAATTTTTCCAGCCGTGCTGCGACCCACAGTTAATTGGGAACTCGTGGCCTGGCACGAGGGTAACATGGATGCAGCTAATGGGATTTCGGTCTTTGACCAATTGGTGGTGGGTCTGATCTACTCACCTCCCACCGTTTAGGCGCTGCATCTGCGCCTTTGATCCTAGAGGGTGGTGGCGTTCCCACGGCGGATGCGGAAAACTCGGCTTTCAGCCGAGTCTCACGCGAACCGTGAAATTTTTTTATTTTTTTTATCTAATGCCATGTGTAAGTGTGCATACGATCCGGGATGAATTACTGCAAAGTACGGCGAGAGCGCCCCACCTTGATTTTACAGCCAGGGAAAGGAAAATCGTATGGCAGAGTGCAACCGGCACAGTTTTTATGGTGTGAGAACCATAGTGCACTGAGGTCACACTTAGCGGCAGGTTTTTTGTGTGGAGCTCGTGTCCGCTCGAAGGTAAATTGAGTACGGATTGACTGCACAAAGTGCAATGTAGGTACTTGTACAGTTGAGTCGCGTGCCCAAGAACGTTGCTTCCTAGGGGTTAGCCTGGGACATTCTTATTTTTGAGCAATCTGGCTGCGTTCTTATAGCACGTTCGTTTGACCTACAGACAGGACACCACCTCCACGAAAGGACGAGATGGTGGGGCACTCTCGCGGTACTTTACGGTATAAACGATGCAGCGCTGGCTGTTGCCCCTCATCTTGGGGCAAGACTGATCGGCGATCTTGGAACTTTTGCAGCACTCAACCCATCTGCCCCCCCCCCCCCCATGTGTGTATGGGTACAGTTCTCGCCAGAGGAATTCGACCTCGTGAATTGAATAGGAGTAGCAGTCTGAGCACTGCGGAAATTCCGAAACACCCTACATGATATGGTGTGAATGTTATGCACTTTTGTTACTGCAACCAAAACTTGGAAGTGAGTTAGGTGTTTGACCCAATCAAGCCGCTTGAAAAACAGATGAGCAGGTATGAGCAATTGTGGGTTTTAACTAGTGGTGTGCACGGGTAGTCGGGTACCCGTGCTACCCGTGAGGACCTCGGGTAGACGGGTACCGAATCGTACCCGAAAACCCGAAGTCGCAGATGACATGTAGAAAGAGTAGAGAGAGAGAGAGGTCTACAGTGCACGTGTGCAAATAATTCACGCATGTCTACCCAGTGTGTAAGGGAAGGGGCCGGAGTGCATTGTGGTTTTACCATGGGAACATTACCCAATCGGGTACCCGTGCTACCCGTGGAAAACTACCCGATACCCGAAGAAAATGCTACCCGACTCGGCCCTAGTTTTAACCGTGAGACACTGTTTCCAGTTACTCAATGGAAGCCATGGTGTGGTGGGAAAGGAAGAATCTCCATAATTTTACCGTTAACCTGGGGGGGGGGGGGCAGTTTCGAGGGGAAAGGGCACCCGGCAAGCCCCCCCCCCCCCCCGGTGTGTAGCCCGGATTGACTTCAGTTGTAAGTTGTACATCGCATGCTGCATTCACGATCACACGGTTCAAGTATGCATGCATGAGTAGTATGTGTACTATGTGTACTACAAAACTAATATTTTTATATGCAATACAAATTCAGTGGAAAATAAAAGAGATGCGGCACGCCATCGGGCAACTCCTTTCAGACCGTCTGCGACGGTCTGAACTTCTCGGCCTTGTCCTGTGGCCGGCCGCAGATTATCCTGTTCGGACTGTGAGTGTATCTCCTACATCATGTTGTAGACATGTCTGTCGACCATGCATTGACATGCCCTACAGGGGGCTACCCAAGTCTGCGACACAATGAGCTTCGTGATGTGCTGGTGGAGGTGATGACTTCTGCCATCCCGGATGTTCAAACAGAGCCACCGCTTTTGCCGTTGGATGGTGAACAACTTCACGGCGCTACCGCTAATCGTGCTGCAGAGGCTCGACTGGATATCCGTGCAAGGGGCTTTTGGTCGCCACAGCAAGATGCATTCTTTGATGTGAGGGTTACTCACCCCTCGGCGTCTTTGCTGTCGCGACAGGAAGTCCTTGCACAGATTTCCCGGAATGAACATCAGAAGAAGCGGGCCTATCTTCAGCGTGTTGTCGATGTCGAGAGGGGGTCATTCACTCCGCTCGTATTTTCGACAAACGGCGTATGTGGCACGGAGTGCTCTCGTGCATTGAAGAACATTGTTCAGCTGGTGGTTAACAAGCATAGTGACCTTCAGTACGCTGTTGTGATGGCACAGCTACGCTGCAAAATTGCATTTGTTTTGCTGAGGTGATCAATCACGTGCCTCCGTGGTTGCAGAGCGTCTTACTTGAGGAAGAGAATAGGCCCATATTTTCTCGACCAATGTCACCTTCTGTCCATGTAACCGCCTTCGGTATTCATATGTTGGCCTATTTAACATTGGCATGCTCTGCGGATTTGTAGGCATGCTAGGCAATTTAAATATTATCCTGCAAAGTATTTTGTAGGTGCGTGACTACTACATGTACGTCATGTACTACAATTGGTACATGACTTAATAATAGCCGTCTGGCATGGTACAATAACCTTTTTTTTTTCTTTTTTTTTTAATGGCTTTCTCTTCTTCCTCGGATGGTTTACAATCTGTATCACAATTATTTGTGGGTTCAGCAATAAAGGATGTGACACCATGTTGTACTAGAACGTGGTGAAGCAGGGGCGTCGCACACCGTACGGTTGGCACGGTACGGTTACTGACCGTACCACCTTTTGCCCCAAGTACCCCGTGAATCAATAAAATGCACTGATTTGGGCTCTAAATTTCCAAAATTTTCGGCTCCGCCACCCCTCCCCCACGAGTAAATTGTGCTTCAGATGGCTGACCATACCACACTAAAATACCTTCCGACGCCCCTGTGAAGGTAGCATTGTCATGCACTGATCCATACTATAGCTGCACATTTGCATACACATGTACATGTACAGGACTGGTGTAAATCGGATTATCCCTGGAAGAGTTTAGTGGAGTTTCTCCTCTTTCTCCCAGCTCCCTGGCCCAGCGTCAGATCGGTTCTGTAGCCTCAGTGGCGAGTGCAGCCGTGAAGACTCAGGGAGTCAGGCTGGAAGCCAGCCGCCTGCCCTCCCCCCCCCCCCCCCCCCCCCTTTGTGACTTTTCCCTGGATCATTCATGGTGCACTTTGAACCAGGGAGTAGTACAAGTAATTTAGTTACTACAAGTCCTACTCCCTGCTTTGAACCGAACCGGTTCGGTAACAGACAACAAAAATCGCCACTAATCGCCCGTATATCGCGTATACGCGTACCGTGTTTCACGTTGACGTTGACGTTGACCTAAAAAATATTCGGTGACAGTTGACCATCCATCCACGGCCACGAGCATGCAGTCATGTAGTTGTACACAGCTTGTTGTACGCTACGAGTCCAGGGAGAAAACACACGTGACGATCCGGTACGCGGTGGATTCTACGCACGGAGTCCATCGAGTACGGGAGTCCCTGAATGGCGTGAACGCGCAGGCATGGCAGGGCTTGCGATATGCATGTGCCATGAACAGACTTCAGTGCTACAAATGACCAGGCCAGGCCAGCAGGGAGTACTAAAAAACCTTTTTTGGTACTCCTTACCGGTGGCGACCCGGGATCTCTTCACATTTTTCATTTCTTCAAGTTTGTTCAACACACTTTGTGGCCATCCGACGACGGCTTCAGTTCCGCGAGTTTACCACTAGATTTCATTCCAGTCTTCATTTTAGTTCGTCCAGTCCACACTGTCGTTTGTTCAGCTTTTACGCCTGTAATCCGCAGTATTTCGCTGAGCAGAACCTGCCTAACACCAAAATAATTGTATTTGCTCAGGCACTGTCTCTAGCCATTGGAAGGCAGGAAAAGAAGGGAAAGCCCAACTGAGCGTGTATCGACGGCCTGTTTCGTGCCCGTAGAGTTTGTCGGTGCTGGTCGGGAAGGTCTGCGGGACCTCTCCTGAGCTTCGGCCATGGCCGAGATCAATCCGAACGAGGCGGCTCGCTTCAATGAGCTCATCCAGGGAGCTATACCGAACGGACGCCAAGCGCTGCTGGACAGTCACAAGAACTTGGAGGAGCTGGCCATCTACTGCGAGGATTTCTATGACAGTGCCACAACCCCTCAGGAAAAGGTGTGTTCTCTGAACGTACACTCTTGTTTTGATCTTGTGAATATCTATGTCACTATGTGAAGCATATGCCCAACTTGGCTAACAATGTCGCAAGCCTGTGGCGAAAGACCTTTTTTGGGACGACCATGTGTCCTTATTCACGTGAACTTTGAAATTGCATTGTCAGAGCCGGCCGCTAGTCCCACCCGGGTAGCGCATTGCGTTGGTATATTTCGTGCTGCATGTACTGACTCTCCGCGAAGAAAACGTGTGTCCTGAGAAATCAAAATGCCAAAATGACACGCTCACATACACACGCACACTCGTACACACACATGCGCATGTACACCCACAAACGCATGTACACACGCACATACATGCACGCGCGCACACACACACACACACACACGCACACACACACACACACACACACACACACACACCACCACCACCACCACCACCACCACCACCACCACCACCACCACCACCACCACCACACACACACACACACACACACACACACACACACACACACACACACACACACACACACACACACACACACACACACACACACACTAATGAAGTCCAACTTTTCCTGTCTGGGTTCGCTAACACCGTGTGCGTTCTTAGTTTTTGGATTTGGGATAACATGGAGATCTACTACTTGTCCTGGCCTCCCCGGTGAGGCATGCTCCACAGCTCAACCCTCGGGTTCTGTGCTGCGGGCTGTCAGTGCTGGCAGTAGGCTAGGTTGTAAGGACTTACATTGTACTTCAACGGAATAATAATTATAGTATGATTGTACTGGAGGGTGTACCCAGTGTGCTGACAGTGCTCAACACCGCGGAGGCAGAGCGTAATGCAGAACAGAACAACAAGGACAATCAAGGCTTGTTTGCTGCGACTTGAAGTTTCATGCTCTCGCAATCATCAGGCAACACCTTGTTGTTCTGTTCTGTAGTATGATTGTAGATATACAATCTCAAAGCTGTTGGGCGTCACAGCATGTTGCCAGAAACTGGATGCAGCCATAAGCAGGAGGTTTTTGGCTTTGACTTTAGGTCAGGAGCATGCACACAGCATGCAGACTGTACAACCAGTGCCCAGTACAACCAGCGCCCAGTACAACCAGTGGCAGTGCCTGGCCTTGCTGACTTCCTGGACAGCATCCTCTGGCGAAGACGCTTCCTGCCGATATATCCACTGCAGCCAGCACAGTGGCGGCAGTTGCTAACCAGCTGTTGCTGCTTGCTGTGCCCTGCAAGGCTGTGTTGTGCCCTGCAAGGCTGTGTTGTGCACCACTGCACTGCCTGCAGGAGATTCAGTGTAATCATGCCGCTCATGGAGCTCTTTCACTAGAAAAAGTCAGCTCAGTGCAGCCTCTGTACATGCTATAGCAGTAGTGTTTACCATCCCATTCCCGCTGCACACGTGGGTACACGTGAGCAGTAGCAGCCTTGCTTCAGTCACAGTAGAGGTAGCGATCTGAATCCGACCTCACCAGCACTGAATGCTGGACTCAGCGCAGTGATGCACACAGTCACTGCTCTGCATGAACTCTGTGCTCTGTCAGCAGTCCAATGTGCACTGCGGTCACATGGTGTATGATCAACGCCTGTTCTGACCCGGTAGCAGGCACCCAGCATTGTGTATGATCAAGGCCTCTGCTGACTCAGTAGCAAGACTAGAATAGCCCTACGTACCGCATGTAGGAGGACATTGTCATTTTGCATTGGATTTTGTTCTCTGGATGAGTTGGTGTTGTACAGTGTACTTGTATAGTACTAATACTATTTTGCTTGAACCTGGAGTGTGTGACCCCGTACATGAAGATGTGCCGTAAATCTGTTTCTGGTGACTCACCCGGCTGGTGAGGGAACCGGATAATAGAGGAATAGGTGTGCAATATCTGACTGCAATAGGTTGAACTCTCGCTCAGCGAGAACTACATACCCGTACGTAGCCTTTATGAATTATGGCAACCTTCAACTTGACATGGTGACATAGACGAAAACCCTGTGTGTGTGTGTGTGTGTGTGTGTGTGTGTGTGTGTGTGTGTGTGTGCCCACACGTGCCCTGCGTTCTCTTTGATTCCCATCGCAGGACAAGGCGCTGGAAGACAGCAAGCAGTATGCCATCCAGTCTCTGGCCAGCGTTGCGTACATGGTCAACGCCATGGCTACACACGTCCTGGAACTCTTCAACCATCAGTATTCCCAACTCAACAACTTGGAATCAACCATTCATAATATCAAACAGGTAAGCCCCAACCAACCCAATACAGCTCAGCAACCGAGAAGTGTAGTGCAGAGTTCATGCTGGCAACTTTCCACATGGTGTTTGCTTTGCCCTGTGCAAACATAGGTGTGGTTGGCTATAAAAACCCAGCAATCGCCACGCAAAGTGGTCATTGGCTACCCCAGCCATGCATTGCTTGGAATAAAAAAATAAATAATAAAAACAACATCTATTCATGTGCTTGAAAGAGGTGGCTGCCTAGTCATGTGCCTGAATCTTTTCACTGTCTTGAAACCAAATTCAGTCATGTACATGTGAGTATCCTGGTGGTGATTGCCTGTTTGACTAACCGCTGCACTTTGCAGAACATCGACATTCACAAGGAGAAGGTGGCACGGCGAGAAATTGGCTTGATGGCTGCCGCAAAGCGTAACTCTCGAGTACACCGCATTACTGTGCCAGCTGAGCTAGATCATGGCCGTAAGTTCTATTTCAAGACGCGCGCGCGTGCATGCATCCACATGGGTGTGGGTACATTTATGTATGTTTGTGTGCGTGCGTGTGTGTGTAGGTGTGTCCGTGTGTTGTAAATCCTTTGCAGCTGTACTTACGCTGGTGACAGAAGCCCAGTGTCAAAAGTCACCCTGTGGGATGAGTGCAATCATACACACAATACTCACTCTCATATCCACAAATGTACTTAGAAGGGATACGCCCCCCCCCCCCCTTCCAACATGGTAGCCGCATTTAGATGCAAGCGTGCCATTGTCATTTTGTTGGAAGTGCTACTTCCATCCTTCCCATTGCACACATATTATGAAGTGACCTCCTCAGCTGTTCTGGACCTTGAGGTGTCTCGTGTTGAGCACTCCGGTGACAAACACACACAGTCATCAACTGGGTGCCTGTTCACCCCCGAGACAATAGTGGTCTATGCGTGTTCCTGTGCGGCAGCCATGGTACTGTCGGTCGCCAAAGAACGGGGGGGGGGGGGGGGGGGGGAGAATCAGCTGGCTGCCACTTAGCCATGTCCAATGGCAATGGGAGCTGTTGTCCACAAGTACTTCCTTGAAGTACCCCATAGGAAAACATAATGCCATGTGCCTGGCTGCAGCTAAATGGACCCCCGGCTTTGGAAACACTCAGTCAAATCATGGCTTGAACATGGATGGGATTTTTATCGCTTTGATTTTTTACTAATGCACACAAACCTCGTGTGTAAACCTTGCTACCACTAACACTATGCCCACACTGACATGGCCCACACGGCGATACTGATTGCGGGCCATGAAAGACTAGCCTAGACTAGACCATTCTTATTTCATGTATTACAGTGTATGCACAGTTGAGTCATCGTGTATACATGGTATGCTGTGCTTGGTGAAATTCTAGCATGGCCGTTCTTCGGCTCCGGGCAGTACTGCAGGTATAAGTGTGGCACAGACCATGTCCCATCATCAGTTTAGACTCACTCCACGCTAGAAAATCCTCTCTCTTTTTGTTACAGGATAACCATGCTGAGCAGTCAACCAATAGGATGCTTGTCAAAGGACGGTGTAGATCTCCTGTAGGACATCACGGGGCAGCCTACACGCCCACCGTGGATTTGTCACAATTTAGTGTAGATGGCCAATGGCAATAGTGTTGCCCCCACCCGCCACCACCGCTGCCATTCAGTATCTATGATATTACTATGGTGCATGCCTGACTGTTCCGTTGTACCTGTGATGTGTTTTTGGGCAGCCTACACGCCCACAGTAGATTTGTGACAATTTGGTGTAGATGGCCAATGGTTTTGCCCCCCCCCCCCCCCCCCCGCCACTGTCATTCAGTGTCTATGATACCGTGGTGCACACTTGACTGTTCCATTGTACCTGTACCTGTGATGGGTGTGTTTGTTGCTGGTGTTGAGCAGGCGGCTACCAGCGAACGCCGTACGACCTCAATGCCCTGGACACGATAGGGCACGGCTTCTCGAAATCGGATGGCATGCATCTACAGACGGCGGGAGGACGCCAGGGCCGGCGCGGATCGGCACGGGGCTCCTCACCATCGGGGGTAAGTCTTGCTACAACGGTCCCTTTATAAACCACCACCATTTGTCTTATGGGAATTCTGCTGGATTAGGGAGGGTGCTGGATTAGAAAATCTGATCTACTGCTGCTATGTGCATGAAAAGGACGTTTGGGTTGCTGACAATTATGCTGGTTTATAGAGGGTGCTGGGTTTAGAAAGTGCTGGCATAAAGAGGGCCGACTGTATATTGCAGGGTCCTGGATATTCTGACTGTGATGTGATGCATACCGTGACCCTTTGCTCCACGTCCTTGTCAGCCTGCCATAGATAGGTGGCGTGTTACGTTCGCTTCTGTGGGAGTTCTGTCACACACCACAATCATGTGCACATACTGTAGGTGCGTGCAGTTGCACCCTTGTGCTGTGGCTTACAAATACTGTAAACGCAGAAATTTTCGGTGGTCTAATATTTTCGGTATTCTCCAAAATCGATCGGCGGTTTGGTGGAGGGAAATTTTCGGTAAAACCCGGTTTCCAGGTAAGCGTACTAATACTACATCAGGGACTAATTTAACCGGTATCGCATCGCAATTTGCGACGCAAAACACAGTGTCTGCGATTCGAAGTTCGTAGTGAGTCGCGGTAAACTGCGACACAACATACAGCTAAGTATGGCCCTGGACATAGACTTGTAGTGCACGCGTAGCGCATGCACATGTGTAGCTTTACAGTGTGTGTGGCTGGTTTGGCGCCACGAGATGGCGCGCCATGCACTGTGACTAGATTAGACTGTGTGTGTGGTTGTCCAGCCTGCACTGCAGGTAGATTTTACACCATACCCACGCGCGGGCCGCGGGACCATGGCCATATGTCACACTATCTCCGCACGCGCACCGCAGCACGTGCACTTGGTCTTGGAAACTAACTAACTAATACTTACTTGAAGTGCAGCCCAGGAAGCACGAGGCGAGTGTCGACAAGTACTTCACCTGCTTTTGAGATTTAGACCGCGTTGCTTCACTAGCAGTAGGCGTCTCGACCGTTCAGGACTTATCTTTGTAGAATTCTGCTAGCCTTATTGATGAAGCCTCTTCACTGCCGGCATGTCTGTGAAGCAAGGTACTGTGGACAAGTGGATTGCTGAATTTGATCCCAAAAAAGAATGGATTCGCGCAGAGTCGAGTGGTGGAGCTGTGACCAAGATATTTTGCAAGATGTGCAGGGAGAAGGCGTCCTCGCTTCGTGGTTTGAGGCAGCATGGCGTTTGTTGACGGTATAAGTGGAAGTGCACTGAAGACTGCATTGTCGACGGAAAAAAACTGCTATGCAAAATTGTTGCGTTGCTATGCAAACATCGAGGTGTGTAGCAATTATTGCTATGTAATTTTTTTGAAGTAAATTAGTCCCTGTACATGTATACAGTACTGGTTCTACCGAAATTTGCACCGATTTTACTTCGAAGTACCGAAAATTTCCGCTTTTACAGTAGAATGCTGCACAGGCCTTGTTGTAGGCTGTGGTGTTGCTTGTAATCCCACATGCATGGTGTCTGGGGGTGTCTGTAGTCAACACTGCTCTTTTGTGCTCTGGCGTGCACGTGTGTGTGTGTGTGTGTGTGTGCGAATGTGCTGCCATTAGACTCGCTCCTCCATGCGCCAGTCTTTCAGCTCAAGCAACCCATATAGTAAGTAATAAAACAGTAGTGCAAGGTACATGTACACATAGGAGCCATGGCCTATGCTCCACATACGCCAACGACAACCGTGGGCGACGTGACGTAATAAGCCCATTGTGCATTGCCGAATATGGAAGGTATGAATAATGCACGTGAGGACGCTGGGATCAGCAATGCACTGTTCAACACCACTAGACGACCATACCCAGGTGGCTGTGCGGGCTGTGCATGGTACACATTACGTCATTGCGCAATGGGCTTATTGCCGCAGTTGTAACGAGTAGCTCTGTTGCAGTGCTATATTGGATGGGTTACTGTCTGTGCTAGATTGGTGACGGTACTTGGCAGCAGTTGTGAGATGTAGTGTGTTAACACTGACAGCTGCATTTGCCAATGTCCTACAGTTACCACAAGTGATGGAGACTTTCAGAGCCGTCGACTGATTTTGACGACATTGTGCGTAGTGCATACTAGTATTTGGTAGAGAGACAGATGGAGAGCTCAGGACGCCACGGCTTAGTCGCCATTGGTGCTGCAGGTGCACATCTGTCCAGACCCCACTTGCAGCTACTGTATGTCTGTTTGCGTGCACATTCGTGTTCGTCTGTCCCCGGAAACTGAACTCCCAACTTCGCTCACTCGGAAAAGTACATACCCACCCCAATGTGCATTCTGTGCTTGTGCTGTTGGACCATCTTCGCAGAAGGTGTTGATGGTATATGCCTTATTTTTGTTTCTCGTACACTGATAGGTATGCAGGAGAATCCTTTGTTTGTTGCTTCACCAATGGCTCCGGTAAGTCTTGGTCTCAGGTATTCGTAATTTCGTTTTGGACCATATGCTGTATCTATGTGCGCTCAAGTCGAATACATTTTGCATGGACGTCGGGAAAGGCGTTCTGTCTATGCTGTTTTTGGCAAGAGGTGGCGAGGAACTCCTGTGCTGCAGGCAAAATTGTGTGTGTCTGTCTGTGCATACGGTGCAGTGGTATGTGCCGTCGATTTCCAATCGAGAGGTTGCGGGTTCAATTCCCGATGGTTATGGTCGCACACTTCTTTCTTCTCTTTCTCATTCTCCTGGGTGGTTACCAACAGCCAGTGTATGCCACGCCGGCGTGTATGTGGTGTGGTGTGTTTCTGTCGAAAAAGAGAAAGAAAAAAATGAAAAATGGAGAGAAAAAAAGAAAAAATAGGGATTCACTGGCCAGAAAAAGCCACTTCAATCAGTTGTGTGGTGGATACCAGGCTAAAATTAGTGGCGGTCAATTCATCGGCCTTGCAAGCTGTTGAATGGTGTAATCCCAGCACAAGTTTCTATAGGCCCTTCCACATTATGCTTTTTTTGTCGTTAAAATGTAAATGCAAAATGCAACATTTTTAGCCCAAAATGCTTTTCTGAATTCTTGCCAAATCACCCAAAAACGCAAAAATTACGTGTCCGTTGCCATGGCAACCAAATTCCATATTTGAAAGTGTGTAAGGTGTCGACTTGGAAACCAGAAGTTGCTGTAGTGTCTGCACACAATTGAGTTTGGACTGGAGAAAGCGAATATCTTAGCCCCTAAAAAGCCTAGCGTTTTAGGCCTAAACTTCAAAAAAATGCTCGAATGAGAATGCTTTTTTCCCCCAAATGCAAAAAAATGCAAAACATATTTAAAAATGTGGAAGCTAGCTAGCTAGCTAGCAAACATAGCTGTTCGCTGTCATCGCTTCCGCGATGGGCATGTCAGAGTCTGAGTGTGTCTGTGTGTCTGTCTCTCTGTCTGTGTGCACTTGCTCTGTGTGCAGGCTGCGGTGGCTCCCCCCACGATACCTGGTGGCGGCGGCAGTGGTAGTACTGGTGGCACGGTATCACCGGCACACTCCGGGCACAGTATTTCAAGTATCGGTGCACCCATGCCACCAACTTCACCAGCTCCACCGCCCATGTCTGCAGCTCCACCACCACCGATGGCCCCGGCACCACCACCAGGAGCTGCCAGCGGTGTACCGCCACCGCCAATGGCCCCAGCAGCCCCGCCGCCGCCACCAGGAGTTCCCGGTGGGGTACTGCCACCACCGCAAGTGCCGCCGTCAATGCCGGCAGCGCCTCCGCCACCACCAGGAATGCCCGGTCCACCGCCGCCACCAGCAGGAATGTCAGGTTCACCAGCACCTCCACCACCACCGGGAATGCCTGGCCCGCCACCGCCTCCACCGGGAATGCCTGGCCCACCACCGCCACTGAATATGCCGCCGCCAGATGAGGTTCGGATATCACTTTCCGGACTACCGCCGATGCCTAGAAGTCCGCCACCTCCAGACATGCCAACGGGACCACCGCCCCCACCGGACATGCCTGCCCCGCCGCCCCTGGATATGCTGCCCATGGGCATGCCGCCGCCAATGGCACCGCCTGTGGCTCCGCCGAGCGCTCCGCCGAGTGCACCGCCGAGCGCTCCACCCAGCCTACCTAACAGCTCGCCGGCCTCACCGCCAATGTCGCGCTCTCCACGCTCCAGCATACCGCCGCCGCTGCTGCCTCTGGACGTGATGCCACCGCCACCGCCCATCGGCGACGTAAGTAATGTGTGTGTGTGTGTGTGTGTGTGTGTGTATGTGTGTGTGTGTGTGTGGGCGCGCGCGTGTGTGTTTCCTGTGACTGTCCCAGTTGGTTCTAGATGTTGGGGTTGCCACAGGTTTGAATAACATTATGACCTTCAGTGAAGGACACCTATCAACTAAGTACTCTTTCATATGTACACCTTTCTTCAGTACCAACAGTCCCAACAGCTGAGTGTATGGGTACAATGAGGACAGCTCTGCGTTAAATGTAAACATGTCCCCGGGGCGTCCGTAGTTGAGGGTCTACTCTACATTGTGCAGCTAGTGTTATTGAATTCGGCTGAATGTCCAAGGGAGGGGGGGGGGGGGGGGCACACAGGGTTGGTGCTTGCCTGCACTTTTGAATGTGCAGGTGTGCGTATGCGAAGAGATGCATGTAGGTTTGGAATCGCTCGTCATGAAAATTTTACATGTAGGCCGCTAGCTTGCCCAGAACATGTTCAGAGGATGACCGGACTTGTGGTAGACTGCTTTGCCAAAAGAATTAAAACATCCCCCCCCCCCTCCCTTTAGTCTTGCTCATGCTAGTCATGTTGACCATGGCCTTTTGATGCTCTATGTGCTGTGGATTTGCTTGAAGTGGTGTACTTATTCTGGTGTTTAAGGATAACTTTCCAGAGCTTGCATAGGGCTTGTGTTCTTTATCTTGGCACAGTGATCATTATGCGCTAATTATCTCGTCATTCAAGATTGTCAAGAGTAGCAAATAGTAAAAATCATCGGCTTATATGCAGTGGTGCTTGCTTGGCACAGCGCCAGTTGTGGAAAGTGAAATCCAGCCTCATGGATATATCTGCTCCGGGGCTGCATGGTCCTGGCACTACGGGCACCTGCCCTGTAGCGGGGTGCGTATCTGCTGTGTTCGTGAGGCTGGATTTCACTTGCCACCGCTGCGCATACACGTAGACACTGATGGCTGCAGGCATGTACAGCTGAGCAGTTTCTGTCTCGCTGTTCACGGCAACGACTACGCTCACGCTTCGTCTCACTCTTGCTTCCACTTGCTGCTCACTGGTGTGTATCGTTTGTTTTTGCCCCTTTATGGACACTTGGTGGTATTGTTACCTGTGCACAGGAGGATGAAGATATTTACCTAGCCTTCACACCCGAGGTTTGTACTCACTGTACTGTTAGAGTAGTGCTGCTGCTGCTGCTGCCACTGCGCCCTTTACCACCGTCATGCCTCAGTCTTGCTCCTTGTCACCTCGCCCTTCACTGCCATGTTCAGTCTTGCTCCCTGTCATCTCGCCCTCCACCGCCATGCCTCTCAGAGTCCTGAACTCGAAGAGCTGTTGTCATCTGCCTCCACCGGCCACTCCTCGCATCGCGCCACTCCATCTTTTCCTTCCAGTGTTGCGTGCGCCACACCACTTCTTCTCCTTGCGCCGCTCGCTGAATTTCTATGTGGCTCCATCTCGACCTGTTGACTACGAGGTTATTCCCCAGTTAGCCCGTCACAACTCCTGCACGCTTGATTTCCAGTCTACATCAGTAGTGGCATGTCACATGTAATCGGTCATGTGACAAGCATCCAGTAAAATCGATTGCTCGTGTAGCTTGCCACATGACACAGCCTGTGGCTATCATTAGCGCCCGTACAAAAATACAAATGTGCGGTACCTCTCTTGTATCGAGGACTTTTATCATTGGCTCCAGCGCACCCACCGTCTGTCGCAGTGCTGTGTACATCAAGACTAAGGATGTAAAAAGTGTGATCACACGCACACAAGATCACTTTCCTTCACGAATATAATAATACCTCGTGCTCTGCTCGTGCTCTTGCTCTCGTGCAACGGATTTGTTAATACCTCGCGCTCTGTAAAAGTAAAAGAAGAACAATAAAACTCGCGCAACCAGCCTAGTTATTGGGCAAAGGGGTATGCAACATAATATGCTGGATGTGCCATGTGCTTCTTACTCACAATTCACAGTCCTTGCATTTCTAGGGGGGTTCGCTTAATGCGAGAAAGGCCAAACAAAAGTCCCTTTGGCTTTCTTACCCATCCGTCATCATGCATTCCGCTTGTGAGATACATTTGAAACTATCGACTTGTGATGCTGATCTGATAAGATTGTCATCAAGTACATGCAGATTGCATTAGCCAGTAACCATGGTAACATGGGTTATATGTACCCGTTGTTTAGCTCGCCTTGCTGCCATGCTGCATATGCAGTCAACCTTGCAAGCAGCAACCCCTGGATCGTGCATGAGAATATTGTAGTTATTCGCCAGTCGTCACTCGTGAGGTTGAAAGAAAATTAGGAGATAAATAAATGGTCGCTAGGGCTGAAGATTACGCCGTCATTGGCGGGTTGTCGTTATTCACAAGGTCTTTATTCACGAGGTTGACTGCATATGTATTGCCAATGAAACTAAGCAGCAATGCAGCAAAACCGCTGGGAGAATTCGTACGGACGGTAAACCAAAAGCATAATGCCATGTCATTGTCTTCCTTACTGCCATTCTTAGCTGCATTCTGTGTTCTGCATGTAGTTGTTGCATCACTGATTGATTGTTGCGTTTGTTCTTATTCCTTGTGTGTATGTGCGTACGTGCATGTTTGCGGTACAGTGGTGAGCGCTATGATGCAACAGAGAGAGAGAGAGAGTGTGTGTGTGTGTGTGTGTGTGTGTGTGTGTGTGTGTGAGAGTGTGTGTGTGTGAGAGTGTGTGTGTGAGTGTGAGAGAGAGAGTGTGTGTGTGAGAGAGAGAGAGTGTGTATGTGTGTGAGAGAGTGTATGTGTGTGTATGTGAGTGGGTGGGTGTGCGTGTGTGTCCTCCTCTGATCAACCCTGTGTGTAAACTGCTAACTGTGTAATCGGTTATAACGTGCGTAATGTCCTAATACCTCTGTTCCCCCTCGCAGCCAATTGCAGAGGATATGTATGAAGACTTACCGCTGTGTGCACCACCTATGGACATTCCAGAGGAAAACTACGATAGCTTCTACTCCATGAATACCAATGATCAGCCCCCGCCACCACCCGAGGATCTCTATGAAGATCTGCCGTGTGTTGCGTAACGCTGAAACAGCTCTTGCCCCCCCCCCCCCACGATAGTATTGCACGGGTTGTTTTTATTTTTAACTTGTGCCCAGCTCCGTGCCATCACCACTCTTGATCACAGATTATTTAATAGAACAGTTTTGCTAACTAGGCGTGGGACTGTTTGAATGTCTCCGCCGCCTGTCCGGGTCAGCTTTTTCTCCAGCCCGATCCACGTGTTTTTATAAAGTTAGGCCTTGCTCTAGCCGATAGCAGGTTCAGCGTGTTCGATAGTAGTATTGTCGTAGTAGAAGAAAAAGAGAAGCTTCACAGTATTCTGGTCAGTTTCATTCTCTTTGTAGTTTTATGCTCCCTTTTCTAGTTTTTGGTAAATTATCTTCTCCTTTCCTACCACGTCATTCTTCAGCTATACAAACCTTTGTAGAGTGTGCGCTGGGTGTTTCCTTAGCCAGATTTTCAGCCCATAAAGAATCAGTAAAATAAATTAACATTCACAGAATTTTGAATTCTAAAATTGTGACTGCCAACGAAACTTGCACTACAAACTCCTCCTGTGCGAGTGTTAACGATGTGCATTTCCTTTCATTATTACAATAATATTCCACAAAATGAAGTCAAACATGGAGTGAATCTGTGTTGTTTAACTTGCGTGCGTGCGTGTGTGTGTGTGTGTTCTCACTTGAACTTGCTATCGTTGCCTACGCATTTGGCAAGGTCAAGGTGCGTGTGTGTGTGTGCAGCACTACCACAGTGCGTCATGTATTGCTGAAATGCTAATCTGATAAACGGATAATAGGGATGTGAACCATTTGAGAATTACACAGCAGTTGTTAACGCATTTGCCATTTGGAGACATGGCTGTAAATGCATGCCTGCCAACCAGGGAGTAGTAAAAAGCCTTATTTTACTATTCCCAGCTGCCAACGCTACAGCAGTCGCGTGCCCAAAAACGCTGTTTCCAAGGGGTACCCTGTAATGTTCTTATTTTCAGCAACCTGGCTGCGTTCGTGAAGCACATTCTTGGAAACAATTTGTACTGGATCATACCGGTGTGTATCTCAAAGCTGTGAGGAGACCAATGCTGCCGTTCTGAACTTTAGGCTGTTGCGTTCTTAGCATTTCAGGCAATTTTGCGCATTTCACCACTTGGTGCTAGCCGGCCAAGCGAATCACTAGCCAGAATAGTATATAGTCACAGAAAACCATGCGGGAACAAAAGTGAAATTCTTACCATATACCGGTAGTGGGGCTCACAGCTGCTCTCCGTGTGGCTGGTGTCAGTTGCAAGCGCAAGCCACACGACATCGCGGCAGTAGATACATGTTAGCAACAAGATGCGGCATGCGAGCAGCAGCCGTTCACCTCAGCACAGTTTCATTTCCATTGAACTTTGAATATGAACCACTGAGTACGTACATCAGGCTACAAATTAGCTCTTTGCCTCGGATTTAGTCATAGCACTACGACGGTATTGTCACTACAGCTGAGTCACTAAACCCGAGCCAAGAGCGAAGTCGACTAGAATAATAATGTCCGCTGCCACGTACATGTACACCAATTGCAAGCAACCAGTTACCTTGTTCTGCATGTGAGTTCCTCTTAATTTTAACAGCAGCCCCAAGTGCCCCGGGAGAAAGACCATTGGTCTGTTGCATCCCCTAGTAAAGTAGGAATAAAATTTAATTATGAACTGGTTCGAGGGAAATACACGAACGGGAAAAGTCGGAAGAAAAAATTGACTGTTACCACCACGGCACCAGGATTCGAGCCAGGAAAATTTAATATGAGTAATAATAATCCATTGCGTGCATGTTACTGTAAGACATATATAACGAGGAAGCAAATCTAACGTTTTAACGGATGACATTTCTTCGTTATAATAAGATCCGCTGAGGCCGTACTGCTTCATATATTATGCTGTGTGTGGATATGACAGGATACTGCAAGATCGTTAACATATCTTCTCGTTAACCTATGAATTTTGGACAATCGTCAAATTTGCGACTCGTTATAATAACATGTCTCACAGTAGGTTGTAAGTACTTCAGTACATGTAATGAACATAGCTAAACATCTAAAACCTGCAGAGAAAGGTATTGTCTGCTTGTTCACACGTTCATGCATATAACACATGCATATGACACATGCATATGACACATGCATATGACATACAGTACTAGTGGTGGGGCAACAGAATACATTGCTGCGTCGGTGCTGCTTTGTAACTTATGAGCAAGAGTACATAACCACCCAGAGTGTAACTCCACTATGGATGCTGTCCCGGCAGAATTTTGAGTTGACGTCGTTTTTTAGTATGATGCCATGCGTATTGTACGCATATTACCAGACGTGTCCTGGACCTGTGGTGGACAAAGCCCTATTCGATTCCGAACAAACTAACTGTTAGTTCAAGGGAACACGTGTGGTGCGTTGACACTCCGTACAAATGTCGCAAATCATTGGTGCAAGGAGCAATGCACCATCAAAATGACGTCCGAACTTGAAATTCCGCCGGGACAGCAGGGTATGCGTTAGTAACTTAGTTGCACACTCTGGGGGGGGGGGGGGGGGCGTATGAGGTTGAGAGGCACACTCAAATGGATGCTGATCCCGAGCACCAAGTGCCGTTCCTTGTGGTTTGTTGTCATGTCTGAGGCAATCAAAGTGAAACTCTGATGATAAGATCTACCCCGCCCCGCCATGGGCACCAGGAAAGTGTGCTCATATATCCAAGGCACTTCTTATACTTATCCCAGCATACTTCAGTGCAGTATGGGTCAATACACCCATGCTGTGGACAATGCACTACTAATAATTAGGGTGCGTTCAGCCTACCGATAAAAAGTGACGGAAGGGAAAATTTCCAAGGTGATTTGATCACGTGACGTTACTGGCACGTTACCGGCGGAAAAGTTCTACAGCCGCGGCTGCTGCGGCAGTAAAACTTTTCCAGCAGTAAAAAGAGTGCTCAGGCTGGGAAAAGGGAAAATCCCTTCTCAGTGCCGCGGTGAGAGCTGCAAAGCTTACGTACCGGTAACGTTAGTTTATCGGTATTGTGAATGTCCTTCACGGTTTATTGCCAAAACTACCCCTCACGTGAGCAAATCACCATGGGTACTCACGGCACTCACGGTACCGTAGTGGAAATCAGCCCTAAGCAGGAGCATGTATGCACCACAGTGTGCTGAGCAAGAGTATGTATGTGTACGTAGTACTGCGTACTTGTACAGTGTACTTAGCAAGAGTATGTACGTACTGGCTGCGTTCGATTATGCACTATTCATGAATCGATTCAAGTGCATTCAAGTCGTTCGATTTTCATGTCATGAGCCCTGGAATCGATTCGGAATCCATTCACCCTATTCACGTGGGGTGATGTGAATAGGGGGAATCGATTCGTGTGCAAAATCGAACGCACTCACTGTGTACTTGTACAGTGTACTGAGCAAGAGTATGTCTTTTTAGAGTACACTGTATGTAGTACTAAGACTTAGTACAAATAACGTTATAACCGTGTTCCACGGCACCGGTAGTGGCATTCAATGGACCTTATGCCATTTGTACAGATCCACGAAATCCCGTAGAATCCCGTAGACCCGGTAGGGTGTTGAATGTGCAGGACCCTATTGTGTTTTCTGCTATTTCCACTAAGAAATGGGCCCTGAAGGCAATTCATACGAAACCTTTTTCTGACAATGATCTAGCTAGTCATTAGTTCTAACCAAAGTGAAGAAGCTGGAAAAGCGATTACTGGTCATTGAATTATGCCGCTAAAAAAAGGTCAAATGCGCATGCATAGCACACAATAAACACCCTACCAGGTCTACGGGATTTCGTGGATCTGTACAAATGGCATAAGGTTGATTGCCACTAGGGATAATCCCTAGGGGCAAAATGGCATCACTCATAGCAACATTTATTTTAAAAACTTTGCACCCGGGATTATAGTTTGTGGGGTTGACTGGATAGGACAGGTATTGGATCCTTCAGTTACAGTTAACTTTGCGTACAACGACACTCGGTGGGGCATCAGAAAAGTGTCCTGATTCGCGAAGTGTCGCTATACCCGAAATATCATTATAATTATGTACTAGCGTTAGATGGGACTTTGCTCTGGGCATGGGAATTCTGTCGTTATTCATGAATAATTGTCGTTATATCCACAGTCGTTATTAGCCAAGTCGACTGTTCCCTGCACACTACAGTTCACCCAAACACAAGTATACATATACCGGGGTGTGCGCTGTGTGTTGACTGCAAGTAGCACCTTTAAAACATCAGCATATTCGTATATATGTATCAGCATAACGTCATTCATACCTTTGCATCCACGCTTGCAACGTCTGCTCCGCTCATTCCCCAGTCACAGGTGAAGAAACCAGTGCTCCTCGCAACCAGGGCGAGAAATGATGATCGTGCAAGTCGTCGTCGATCTACAGGTAGGCCAGAGTCTTTGTTTCCATACGGCATTGTGCACTTGCCACACTCAGTAGAACAAAGAGAAAAAAAGCATTTGTTATGCTACAACAATTGCACATACATTAATTTTGTGACTTGGCAGTTCAAGCTTTCACTCTCTCATACAGGAAATTTACACCAATACTATGAAAGCATGGTTACGAAACCATGGTTACATATTATTGTTCATACATGTAAAAAAATGAGTAAATTATCGTGTCCGTTCCCGAAGGGAACTCACGACGGCCGCTAACACCCGGTAAACCCTATGGATGCGGCTAATGGGGTTTCTCGGCACTTGTGCCAATGGTTGTGAAACTTATCCACTCACCCTCACCGTTAGGCGCTGCATCTGCCACTAGGGTTTACCGGGTTCATACATGTAACTGCTGCAAAAGAATAATCCATGGTAGGGATTCGAACCCAGCACCCTGTCCGGGTTCCTGGGACAGTGCCCCAACGACAAGGCTACGCCAGTACAGGGGATCACATACCTGTGAACAGGGAGTCATAAAATACCAGTATTTTACGACTCCCTGGTCGTGACCCTTCTAAGTTCTAGCTACACTTACACTACACATGCATGCTGTGTCATCACGTCGTACCTATCGGGGTACGGTGGGTCACGGGTTCGAATCGGAGAGTCGTCAAATACCTTGATTCGAATCCCACTCCTGAATCCTTCTTTTGCAACAAAACCGTGGACAAGTAGCCATAGATACATGTACATAACCATGGTAACATGATCGGGAAACTTGACAGTGTACAGCGGCATGGAGATTGCAGTTGAAAGCGGTCAGGAGGCATGCAAAGCATGATATTAAAGGTACTGTAACTATCGTTAGAAATGTGTTACTGTGTGGTACGTACAATACGCAATGCAATGGGTTGCTCAATGCCAGTACCTACATGTATGTCCTCATCTCAAGCAGGGGGGGGGGGGGGTACTAAAACAGGATTTTCAGTGCTCCCTGGTCTCGAGCAACTCAATGCACTGCAATCCACCATTGTTACCATGGAAACTGTGCTCCATGCTGATGGCCTTCTGTACCTTTGGTGCAGTAGCTGATCTGCCACCACCTGGCCCGCCACCGGAGGAGCCACCACCACGTCCGCCAAGTCCCATAGACGACTATGACGGAGAGAAGGAAGATCCCGCGTGGGCACCTGAGCAGTACATTGAGAAAGGTGAGAGGAGAACAAAGAGCATACATGCACGCACGTCGCACCGGATACATACACACTCACATGCAGATACGCCTAGCACATACACACGAGTCACAGGAAAACCACGCGTCTTGATTGTCGTAACTTAAAGTTTCATGCCATATAGCAATCTTCAGACAACTGATTCCTAGCACATACATGTATACATGCACATATACACACATACACACACACGCACACACAGACAGACACAGACACATACATACACACACGCACACAGACATGCACACACACGCACACACGTATAGCACATGTTGAACACATCATGTGATGTGAGCTTTCTGCCATGACCTGCATGTGCAGCAAGTAGGCCCTGGGTTAGGGACAACCCGGATAAAGCATCAAACTTTTCCAAAACCTATTTTTGGAATTTGTTCATACCCCAATCTGGTGATCCTTGTGTCAATATTCGTATTGTGCACGCCATTCTTGTTTTTGAGATGCCAACGAATAGCATTGCAGAGTTCAAAACCCTTCCCAAATTATCAATTTCGATCCGTGTGCAAGTGGTACAATGCACTTCAGGTTGACCGTTAGGGGACAGTGTGGGGTGCACTCTTGCAGTGCGCCGCATTCAAATCACTTAAAAAAAACGAAATTGTGTGGGCTTTACTTCGCGACGCCTGATCATGGGGTGGTGGCGTCCCACGGAAGCGGAAAGGTGGTTCTTGACCAGGGAGTTGTACGACTCCTTGTTCTTGACCTGCCCAGTACGCGAACCCGTCGATTTTTATTTTTCATTTTGTTTACTTCATATACAGTGACCACGATGTATGCGTACGAGAGGTGTCGCAGTGACGAGCTGTCGTTCGACGAGGGCGTGATCGTCTACGTGACTCGCAAGAACGCCGACGGCTGGTACCACGGTGTGATAGAGCCCGGCGTGGCCGGCGTCTTTCCCGGCAACTACGTGGAGGAGGACTCCTCGCAGATGTAGCTCTATTCGATGATCGTGATGATATTGCATGAGCTAAGAGGTTGTGACATCGGCGGTAGTTGGATGGCGAAGAAAGGGCCTGCTCCAAACCTCGCTATTGCCAATGGTGAGAGTAGGTGCAGCATAACGTTACATGTATAGGCCGCAGCAGAAGCCGGCACGAAATACAACACCCTGTACATACCGGTAGCGGAGACTCGGCAAGTCTGCGAACGGCACTGTTTCAACGTTGCGGTCCGCCGTGGACTTATCCGTGAAGCTCGTCCAACGTGGTGAACTGACTATCACCCCCTCCCCCCCCCCTCCATATTGGCCTATATTCCCTGGCGAATGGGAAGGTGACATAAATAAATAAATAACTATTCCACACATACTCAGTAAATGCTCAAGTCATTCGTGTAGGTAGTGGCAATACAGAATTCTATTTACAGTATAACTGCATGTAGTGGCTATCGAATGCCGGCCCATGAAGATCGGCCCTACTGCCAGTACAGTATACGATATATGCACGTATGTAACTCTTTGATTAGTTTATCGTGCATGGATGGTCTCGTAGCCAGCATGGAAATTATTACGATTTTTAAAAGACTCAGTTTCTGTTGAAAGGATTGTTTTGTATGGACAATGGTGATATTAATGTGACAGCTACCATGATAGCATGCATAATTATACCATTGCACGTCTAAGTCGATGTACTGTGTGCGAACTCGGTGCTGACTCTCGAATAGAAGCCCCTCTTGAGCCTTGAAGACTCCTCAGACTCTTTGGGATTGAAAAATAAGAGCGGCTTTCTAACCGAGTGAGTACGGTACTTGGCAGGCTAGTACATTGCACACATGTACACTGTACAATCATGGTATTAGATAAGAAAAAACTAAGACAACTCTGGAAAGGAGTTTGAAGTTTGGTTTGGAGAGACTTTGAGAGATTTTCTTTTTTTTGTAGCAAACTAAGACAACTCCCCTATAGCCTAGAATAAAGAGGGTCAGAACCGGGTCTAACACCCATACGGTTCAGATGGTCATAACGACCGGGCCGCGGGGCTCTACCAACCGTGGATGCTTGTAGCAAGGTCACTGTTTCCGAACACGGTGGTCCCTGGCTGCCTTGTGACATGTTGTCAACCAACAACATTGTACAATCATGATGATTATACTGGTATGTGTATGTATGCGTGAACTGCATGGGGTGCTGGACAAATCTTGGCATAGGGTATTCTACAGGCAGAATCACACACAGTTTGTATTACTATTAGGAAGGGCAGGCTTATTGGGGGGGGGGGGGGGGTTAAGAGATAGGCATATCGGACATATCGACATGTAGGAGGTCGATAGACTGAGAGCCGCACATGATATGGGGAGATTACAATCATAATCAAGGGTGTCGGAACCGCACCGGCCGGGGCGGCCATGGCCGCCCCACTTTTTCGGCCGTTTTTTTGTTTTGTTTTTTGTTTTTGTTTTTTTGAGCACACTGCAACAAAGCGCGATGATCTCACCGCAAACGTGGCAAATCCTTGTCCCCGATCGTGGTTTGTTGCAGAATCAAAAGTCCATGTACACTGAAATGGCACCAAATGCCTGGGAATGCTTGCAATTGGCTTCAATTTTTGAATTTTTTCCCGGGGGAGGGTAATGTTTGTCCCCGATCGTAGCATCTTCTTGGTCTTTTGCAGAATCAAAAAGTCTTTCATTGTAGTTACCGTACACTGAAATGGCACCAAATGCCCGGAAATGCTTGCAATTGGCTTCAATTTTTGAAATTTTTTCCCGGGGGAGGACCCCGAACCCCCTTCCATGGCCGCCCCACCTCCAAAGTCGGTGCGACGCGCCTGATAATGCAAGTAACACACCTATACCATACACGGTGTCGGTCCCTGCAATAACAACAAACACTGACCTCTCTATGCAGTAAGTACGGAACTCGTCACTCGATCAGGCATGTAGGCAGCCTAAATTAGGGCTCAAACGATTAGTCCGATTAACCGGTTGCAGACCGGTTACGAAGAATTAACGGTTAACCGATAAAGATAACGGTTACGCAGTAACTTTTCAGTCAATGTTTCAAGTATCAGGTCGTTGCAAAGTGTGCACTTTCGCGGGCTGTCGCACGCGTATGCAATTTCTGGGCTGTCAACTTGGTCATATCTGGTCTCTTGGTGTGAGAGTATGTATGAATGAGCATGCAAGAGAATGTACAAGTGTGCGTTGTACTGAATAGGGTACATTTTTTGAATGAGTATAGTCAAATATAGAGTCCGCAGGATTGCCGTGGCTTATAGGTTATAACCGGTTAACCGACCGTTAGCTTAGCAGTTAATCGTCAGGGGTAAAACCGTGACCGTTTGAGCCCTAGCCTAAATAACCGCCATAAGTAAGCATAACGTCCACACTTAGTCTGCAGTTCAGCTCAGTCTTATCATGGTCGAGTGCGGAGAGAGCGTTACGCGTTGCGCGCGTTACTTACTTTTGCCAGTGAGTTCCGGGCCGGCGAATGACGACGGTTCCGAACTTCGTCATGCTCCCTGGCCGTGTGGAAAGACGCGGCTACCGATATTACTGGCAGTATATCCGCTCGTGCGCGAAGCTGTAGAATGCTGTCAAGCGCTAGACCGAGGAAACTACTAGTATTCGTTCATAGCCACCGAGCATGGCTGGGTTCCTACATTGATCGCAGTGCGTCCGCAAAAGACACACAGAGAAGTAAAGAGGGAAACAACAAGATTAGCCTACAGAGCACCACGATGCCTTCGTACGTGATCGGCATTCGTCCAATGACGCCTTGCGGCAGCTTTGTCAAGCTAGCTTTTCCAAAAGAAGAAGTACCGTCCGCAACCAATGAACACAACAATGAAGTTGCCAGTTGGCTAGCAAAAGTTACAGCGGTGTGACTTACCCTAACCTCTACCAGTGCGTGATTCTACAACTTTCCACAACGCTATTCGGAGACGAGAAGGCGATTATCGAAAGAAACACAACGAATCCACAACTGACCAACGGGCACCGAATCGTTTTTGACAGAAATGTTTTTCTCAAGAATTCATCTGTGACTACTTCTAGATTCTGGTACTGAAGAAGATAAGTAAAGAGAATGAAGCAGCTCATGGTAGCATCATGCAGAAGATTACGCTACTTTTACTAAAGCGGTAAAGGACGGTGTCAAAGCAGAAGCAAGGCCGCTTTAGTTTAGCTTTGGCGAGAGCCAGTGAAAAGGTGCGAAGAATAGCACGTGCCCATTGAAGTGAAAAAACAACAAACACTAATGAGTATTTGAAACTCGGATGTTAAGCCATAAATAAATGTAAAAGAGAAAAGGACATATGGATGCTTTGCTGCTTCGAATTGTAGTTAGACCGCTTTGTCAAATATCGTACTGGTCTCGTCATCGTCCAGTAACAATCGACATTCTTTGTTCCGTTGGGACTGTAGCTTTTGCTCGTTTTCGTTGCGCTTGCCTTCCCCTCTTTGGTCTTTCCATAACCTTGAACCTTCCAAGTTGGAAGGCTGTCGGTTAGCGCTACAGAGATGTGTTAAAGTTAGGTGTCAGGACGTCGAATGTCTCAGTACTCTGTCAGTTTTGTGCCTAGTTATTGCACTTTCTGACTGTATATAGTATCATGTTACAGTGATGGAGAGTTACTCTAAACTCGTATCCATATGTCCTTTTCTCTTTTACTAATGAGTATGCTCTGCTTGTCGGCAAAGGTTGGGATGTTGAGTGTGAAATATAATACAGATTCTCACACTTTCAAATGATGATCTGAAATCCCACGTGACGCAATAACAAAACAATCATCAGAATAGACAACAGCACATTCGGGATTCATTAACTTCAATTGGTCACACATGGACAACACATTTGGACCTAGACCATCCATAGCCGCAGAGTTGAACAGTTTCAGGTATAAATATGCCGAAATACGCCCAGCATCTAATTCTTTACATTAGTAACACAGCAGAAACATAGGGAATACAATCATTTCATCAGCGAATGTTTGCTTCGGCTGAACATTGACCTTGTTCCAAGCCTTTCCGCCCGTCTGAAAAGGATAGGAAAAAAGTGGAATAATGTTTGTCTGGTTGCACTACATCCCAAGCTGTCCGTACCTGTGCACTGTTTGGACCAGGGAGTCGTGAAAGAGCTTTCACGACTCCCGGGTTTTCTCCGAGCACTCGGTGAGGATTTCGGTCATAATCTACGCAAAAAGGATAATGCTGTTTTCTTCCAAGAGCATCAGTTGTCATTCACTTTGCCACTCAGTTGCGATCCGTGCACGAGCTAAGGGGTCGTCCACAAATGTCGATGTTTTTTTAGAGAAGATATTCGTTCGTTCGGGGGGGGGGGGGAGGGGGTTTGGGCCCTGTTCGTCTCGTCTTTGCAGAAAAAAATATTGAACTCTATCTATGGACGGGCGCTGTTCGAACATGTAGTTTATGACCTACACAAAGTGAAAATCAACCTCGTGAGCATAGCCATGGCAAGGTTGTGCGACCATGGCAACGTAAACCTAGGTGTATGGTGACATTAGAGTGGCAGCAGGTCACGTTTCATGAGGAAATTGAACTTCATTAAAAAATATCGATCCCTTGCATAAACATGTGTATGTTCGTTACGAGGGGGGAGAAATGAACAAATATCGTCTTGAAAAAAAACATCGATATTTACGGACGGCCCCTAACCAAAATACGTGGAAACGCATGTACAGTACTTGTGTAATGGAAGCATATTCGGTCAATGCCCATTCTAAGTTGTAGTGGTAGCTAGCGGCTTTGGCGATGATTTCATAGGAAAGTTGGTTGCACCCCACACCAGAACTCACGCTTTTCCACCGACTTGACTTGACTGACTTACGACTGCCGTCCAGAGCACACGAGAAGTCCATCGAAACCTTCTACTGCGAAAGCCTGCTAGAAAGCACCACTTCCTGCTCAATACACAGTGTTTCGGGGAATTCACCCTCGTGTGCTGTGTGTGCATGACAGTCGTGACAAGTCGGCGGAAAAGCGCGAGCTCCGGTGTGGGGACTGGGGAGCAACCAACGTTCCAATGCCTATTCTCTTTTGACAAACTACAGTCCATTCATAAAAAGATGGGCCCTGGCTCTGGCGAGCTCCCGTATTTGGCGATTTTTCGTGATTTCATCGTACACAGTGCAGTGCTGCGAACTTTGAAATTTGAAAGAGGGTCCAAAAAGGTACCTGAACTGGGGTTCGAACCGCACAACGCACTGTGTTGCAGGCGGGGTCAAACGGCCTGGATTTTGATGGTTTTTCCCGATTCAGTGCTTTTGGGGCAAAACCTGGCCGAAATTCTATTCTTGCTATGGCTTACTTTTTGGACAAAACACTTCAGAAACATAATTGGAAGAGGATTCCATAGGGGATGGCAGAAAAAAATTCAAAAAAAACTCAAAGTTTGACCCGTTTATGGCCAAAAGCTAGAAGTCCATCTTTTTCTGAATGGACTGTAACATTTGCATCATTCATTGCCTCGATCACACTCCACGAAATATGTGGAAGAATTTTGGTCGTGGCATATTCTCTTTTCTAAGGATTCACCTACAGAGGTTATGCAATTACATCAGGGAGTAGTCTAATAATGTCTAAAGTATAATACGCAGTGTTTTACTACTACCTGATTACAAGTTGACATGCTATGGCGAAGTCGCGGC